GCTCACAAACATTGCCGTAACAGGAATAAAGTTAAGAAACCGACAGAATCCCTCACCGAAATACCAGACGTTGTGGCTGGCATAAATAAAATTGAACACTGTGTTCAAGGCAGTCATTAGCAGGTCAGAAAAAGCCAAGTTAACAATAAAATAGTTGGTAACAGTCCTCATCCGTTGGTGAGACAAGATAATCCAAATGACAGTGCCATTGCCCACAACTGATACGATGACTATGAATAAATAGGTGATAGCCCAAAGTGCTATTTGCCAGCCAGGCTGAGAAAACGCGGTCTGGTTGACATGGTCTATGGAAATGTCATCCACTGAAATGTTGCTTATGTTTGAGGAGGAAATTGTCTTCATAACTTTCTTCAGCTCACTGTCGAAAACTGTGTGAAATGGGATCACTTTCTTACAGCAGTCCTAGCATTGTTGCTGTGAACTCGCAGTTTGGAGATCTTCAGAACACGACACACTGACGTCGATGTGCATCCCACATTCAGTTTACAGATCTTCCGTGCACCACACAATGGTTTTCCACAGGAAGCGATTACAGCTCTTCTATGCTCATATCCACCACAAATCCATTTGAATATCTGCTGGTGTTAATGACCAACAGAAATATGCAGAAGATCTGTGATAAGAAGAATCTTCTTAAGAATCGAAGTGTCAGGTTATGGTAACTCTGTTAAAATGTGTTGTTTTTTTTAAAAAGAAGAGATTAAAAGATATCGCAGCATGGAGTTGCTGGACTTTAATTCTCCCTTCCTTAGTAACACTGAAACATTTCGGAAGCAGTCAAACAGGCAAAAAAATAAATAAATCTACAGGCTTAACGAGAATTGAAAAGAGGCGGAGAGGTTAGAATATACAATAGCTAACAAAATTCAATTTCGTGACGCTGGAGTTCCACCCCTTGCCCCACGTTTTTGTAGTAATCTTCATAGCTCTGTTCCTCTCAGGTTTAAAGCGAAGAGCGTCAAAGATTTTACCCTATTAGGGCCAAGTCATTTATCCTTTGCATATCCACAACTCACATTTAATTTGGTGAGTTTCACTAAGAACTTGGCCTGCAGTGTGCCATAAATATTATTAGGAGGGTTTGCGAGAACAGTTCCAAAGCAACTATACAGAAGACAGTAAAAATGTATTCAGGATTGTGAAATCCATCTCCTGCTGACTGCTGTGAGAGCTTCACAGAAGCTCACACATTGGACTGTGAACAGTGGCTGGGAGCTCAACTGCTGTGAACCATATTTTGCTCAGAGGTAGTCATTTTCATCCTAGGAAAATATCCCAATCTCAAGAACAGCCTTCCTGAGAAGGCTCTGTGAAGCACAAGGGAATGCCACAGGAAGGAAATACCATTTCCCCCCACCCATATAAAAATAAGGGCTTTCTGCCTATGCCCAGGAATTGGTTGCTTGGATCCCATACATTATTTTCTCCTAATAAAATGGTATTTTATTGATGCAGTGAGTTGCCTTCAAAGTGTCTTAAAATATGCCTAACTTATCTATTACTACTATTTATTCTTATTACTATGCCTGTATAGTCTAAAACAGTTTCCTGAGATGTGCCCATTTATTTTTTTCAAACTTTTAAGTAATTTGCATCACACAGGGAACCATTTCTTTTACTGTGTATTTAAAACTTCGGTGGAAATTCTGAGATTATCCCATTGCTCTGAGACTACCCTTAAAATGTAGTTAGATTCCCACCATATTTATACTGGATTATTCAAGTCTTTTGAGAAATTTCTGCAGAACAGTAGCTTATTCCATTTTTTTAAAAAAGCAACACAGGAAAAACCTCCGGTAATGAAATAGTTAGCATGCCACAGGTGTATAAGCACTATTTCAAGGTTGTTTTGTTCAGCATCTAAAATCATGTAGTCTACTATGTGAAAGCCAAAGTTATGAATCCAAGCTCTGACTAGTGTGCACCATTGCCAGAAGACTACGTCTAATGTAACCTGTAGCACAAGACTTTGTTTTAAACCAAACAGTGTCCAGCCTTGAGCCAACATTGTTTCACCCCAACTTCCCCAGCTGCTTATTCATATCAGTACATTTCCATGTATCAGTTCACCTGTGCAAGTGTACCTATAAAAATTCCTGGCCTGCAAACATTTTACTAGCACATGAAGACGTTACGTAGCCTTAGTTTCTATGCTGGCCACAGAGGAAAGGAAAGTTCTTCAACCAGTATGGAAATGTAGGCTACTACTAAGCCATGTAGGCAAGCACCAACCAACCAACCAACCAACCAACCAACCAACCAACCAACCAACCACAACAGTCAATTGCCTTCTACCAAGGGGTCTGGCGCAGGTACAGAATAGTACTGCATGGAATTCTGGTGGCCTATGGTGACCAGGCAAATGGTTAAATACAAGACTGGATTTGATTCAAGTTCTGCTCTCATGTTTCTTACCATCAAATACTTTCTGCTAGAGACACTTGAACATCTCTCTAGACGCTACTTATAGAAAAAGGGCCACTCTGTATACTGTAGAACAGAGGCAATTTAGTTAGTGCTCTCTGCAAAATCTCCTGTCTGCCAAATGTGCAATTATTAACAGGGACATTATATACCGTTACCCTAGGATGAGGTGAAAAAAGTACCGGACTATTTGAGATGTCCCAGCTTTATTGAAGATGCGCTTTAAACCTTGGATAGCTTCCAAAACACATTTAAATTGAAGAGGTTTAAAAGAGCATCAACTCAGAACTGACTTGTGTAAACAAGTCCTTAACAGATAAACCATTTTAAGAATGCAATATTTAAATCTTAATGCCTGGAATATTCATGTGGAAAATAATCATGTAAGCCATCTTTGAACTTTTTAATGCAGCCTCACATATTCTTGCATAGTTGCATAAAAATTCCAGCACATGAGAAAGGAGAAGGCTAAAATACATTGTCTATGTGGACAAGGACAGTACTTCATTAGACCCAACTTTATCAGTAACCAGTCAATTTAATGTTATACTGTACTTTATTTAAATTATTGTTTTGTAAAAAAACAACCATATAGCATTTCCAAGAGTACTCTGACAAGCTGAATATGTGCAACTACATTCTTTCTGTGTTAGTTTTACAATGGGAGTTTGATTCTCTAGAAGATGAATAAATATTTACACCGAGTATATATATGAAAGAGATCTGTTCCATTTTACTGTTAGATCCTTATAAGGGGATATACTTCTCTCTGGCTAGCAGAAAGGTTCTGTTCTGTTCCAAAAGGAAAACATGCTGAAAGGTCACTTGTAGAAAGCCCAATAGATTTCCAGGGAAATCACTATGACTTTACACAGTGGTAAACGCAGTATAATTTAGCTAGTGATCTTAACAGTTTTAAGATACTCTTCATAAGAGAGAGATATAACTAAGAGCAAAATCTATTTTCTTTATTAGAAAACACAGGGCTTTATCAAAGACAAAGCGTAAGATTACATTGAATGCTTGTTGCAGAAAGCAAGAAAACCTGAAAAACCATTGAAATGTTTTCATATCAGACACTTTCAGATTTCACAGCTTCTATAATGCAAATCATTTCTCCTCAATTCCTTCATTCATTCGCTTGCTTGTTGGCAAGTGGGCAAGAACAAATTCAGCAGTTGTTAGCAGTGTCAATGAGCTATTCTTCCTCAAGAAAATAGCTTTCTTGTCTAGGGCTTAGAGTGAGGCATTTCTTTCTTTTTCTCAGCTAGCTTAATATCAATCACATATTCTCTTCATGTTTGCTCAATAATACAGCAAAACAATTCACATTTTTTTTCTTGCTATTTGCCATTGGGAGAGTGCTTGAACTCACTTTGTGAGTCCTATAGCATCTTCATCCAATATGCCAACATTAGATTCACAATCCTAGGAACAAAACCAGGACATCTGTATACAGTGGTACCTCGGTTTATGAACTTAATCCGTTCTGGAAGTCTGTTCTTAAACTGAAACAGTTCTTAAACTGAGACACACTTTCCCTAATGAGGCCTCCCGCAGCCGGTGCCCTTCCACTGTTCTGGCTTCCATTCTTAGACTGAGGTAAAGTTTGTAAACCGGGACACTGCTTCTCGTTTTGCGGAGTTTGTAAACTGAATCGTTTGTAAACAGGGCTGTTCTTAAACCGAGGTACCACTGTACTACAATGGAACATTTTTTCTGTTGTTGGTGTGAATGGTTTTCAGCTTACTTGATTCTAGACAATCACCCATTGCATATGTCAAGAGAAAGAGTGGCACCTTTGAAGGAACGCCCACTGATCACAGTCACACCAATTCTCCAGTAAACAAGACAAGCAGGGGCCCCTCCACCTGTTCTCCTCTTTTTTCTTCCTAATGTAACCCTAATGTCTCAACAAATGAAACTGACCTATGGAAAGCGTAACTTGAAAAAAGAGGCATTGCACATACCTTTGTAAACCAAGAAAACTTTAATAAAATATTATTTAAAAACAACAAGACAAGTGGGGTGGGGCTTTTACAGCACATTTCCACACATGCTTATTCGGAAATAACAACAACAACAACAACAACAACAACAACAACAACAACAATTATTTAATAATAATTATTATTATTATTTATATCCCACCCATTTCGCTGGGTTTCCCCAGTCACTCTGAGCAGCTCCCAACAGAATATTAATAGCACGGTAAAACATCAAACATTAAAAATTTCCGTAAACAGGGCTGCCTTCATTAGTTGAAATGAAAGTGGGGGCACGATTGCATCCTACATCTAACGATATCTGTTAAGGCTGCCACCGCACGTGAAACACAAATTTATTATGACATCAGCGCTTGTGGATTAAACGTCTGCTTCATCCGATGCAATGGAGCATAGTAATCAAGTGTCAGAAACGCACACACACACACGTGTAGACGCTGGAGCTCGATGAGAACGCGCAGCCTGCGGCGATTCAATCAGAGCTTAAACAAGCGCAGCGGGAGCCCCTCCGAGGGCGCGAAAAATCCCCGGAGCTGCGGCTCGTCTTGAGGTGCGAAAGCGGCGCAGTCTCCGACTAGCTGCCGCTCCAGGAAGCCGGGGCGCCGTCGCTTTCTCGTCTCTCCCTTCCCGGCTGCCCTCGGGGACACAGGCAGGCTCCTCCCGCCGTCTGGCGCAGGCGAGCCGCTTCCAGAGAAGAGCAGAGCAGGCGCCGCCGCCGCCGTAGCTCGCGGCCTGGGGCTCCGCAGGTGGTTTACGGGCGGGCGGGAGGAGCAGGAAGCGCGGCGGCAGCGGAGGGATTATTGGCGGAGGGGAGGCGCCCGGGCCGCGGCAGAAGCAGGCCGAGGGAGGAGGATGGCGCGGTCGACGGGAGACTCGGAGCAGGTCCGCTACTGCGCGCGCTTCAACTACCTGTGCCTCAAGTTCACGCTCATCACCTACTCCACGGTGTTTTGGGTGAGTGCGAGGGGCGGGCGGGCCGGACCTCCGTCAGGCGGCGACAGCAGCTCCCCTGCCGTAGGGTGTAGCCGCCGAGCTGGGGCAGGCAAGAAAGAAGGGAAGCGGGGCGACGAGCAAGGAGCTGCCATGGGGGGGGGGGGAGGAGAAATGCCCCTCCGTGCCCGCGCGGGGTTGCCCCAGGGATGCCCTCCTGCTGCCTTTTGTGTTTTTTCTCACAGAACCGGGGCGACCTGTTAGCAACAGGTGTGGTGCGACGCGGGTAAGGCTGCTGGAAAGAAGCACCAGGAAACGCGCCGCCCAGCCGCAGCGTTTGGGAAGCTGAGGGGGTTTTTGTTGTTGTTTAGGGAGTTGCACACAGAAACCACACGCACACACACACGCCTCCTCCTCCTCCGCACACGCCGGGGCGGTCCGTCCAGTTGCAAAGGTTTCCAATCCCACCCAGTGACGGGAAAGCAAGCAGCTCGCTCGATAAGCACGTGCTTTTATTTTTTTGTCAGTGGGAGGCTATTCCGTGGTTTAAAATAACGCCGATTTCAAAGTATGTAACGGAGGAGACCCTTCAGGGGTGCGGTCAGAATAGCTGTAGCTTGACTTGTGCGGTGAATTTAACTGTAGGCTTTTAACTTGGCAAACTAGTGCCCTGACTCAGTCGAGGAAGGAAAAAAAGGCATTAAAGTGCTTGTGACACCTGCTGCCTTTCTCTAAAGCGATCATATGCTGGCAGTGGCTATTAGAAAAGGCAGGGTCACATTTCCTTGTCATCTCCTCCTGCCCTGAAATTTGCTTCTGGTTCTGTCGAACCATTAATAATAAAATAATTCATTTTTGCAGTAAAAATTGTTTAAATAGAAATCGTCTCTGAAAATTGTACATATACTTAACTTTTTTTGTGTTGTCATGCACCCATCATTCTGCAACCAACATTGCAAACACACAGGTTTGTTAAGAAGTGCAGAAGAAGATAAAAACCATGCATTTATGTGGCCTGCATAGTTCTGAGTTCAAAGTCTCAATTTTTGCTTGTGGCACACCCCACATTAGTAGAGAGGGAAATTTTAACCTATAAGGAAATATTTAATCAATTAGTCACATGGATGAATTGATAAGAGCTTGCAGGTCTAATTCAAACAGCCTGTTTTGTTTGCAATCACCAATATTTCCTTCCCTTCCCTTTTCTCTCTCTGCTGTGTTGAATATAGATTAAACACCTTGGGACAGGGATCTGTGTGTGCTTGTTCTTTGTAAAACACTTATTACACAGTGACAGTGTAATATGACTGACTGATTGAATAATATTGCTCCCAATAAGACTTATTCCAGTAAAAACCCCAAGCTTTCATGCTATTTGAAAGACAGTTCAGCTGTCACTTTGGATTGTATTCATACTTATACTGGATTAATTAACCATTAACACATGAGGATCTGGACTGGACATAATGTTCTCTGTTACTATGAATAATAGTTTATGCGGAGTGTTAGATACACACACAGTTCTCTCTTCTTCTGCACTGGCTTTGGTCTAGAGAGCCTGGTTTGTTTAAACTAGAGTTCCCTGTTTAGATGAAATAAGAGACTGTGGCTTAATGTTTGCTTACTAATCAGTACATTATTCCAGGGCCAGGAATTAACCTAAAGCTAAAGATGAAAAGAGGGGCTTTAGTTTAAACAAACCAAGATATCTGCACTGAAGAGGACTTGCAATGGGAGGGGCAAAAGAGGAGCAAAAGGTTTTGACACTCGTTCTTGGCTTCATGGTTTATGAAGCTAGGAATAATTAAGTCTGAACTGACCCTTACTTTGTTCATTATTGTATCTTCAGATCTGTGACTGTCGCTCAATCAATACACAACACCACTTAATTAGCATGTAGCTCAGTTAACACACAATGCCCAACCATGATTTTGTGGCTGGGAGTACCTTTGCCAGTTTGGACATGCTCTTATTCCCTCCCCTCCTCCACTTCTGAGTTTTTCTAGCTCACATTGCTGTGATGTCCAAATTGGCACCTTATGATTTGTGCTAACTTCTGAATCATGGTTTGCAAACCATCTTCAAACCAATGTTTCAAATTCTGTTTAACATCATGGCAAACTATGGTTAGTAAACATCAGGAAGTAGATGGAAGAGGGTAGATTGGGGTCTCTTGGTGAACTATTGGCCAATTTTGGGTGAACAACCTAGTTCAGGTGTGGGTAAGATTTGTCCCTGCAGGTGTTGCTGCACTCCATCTCCCATCATGCTTGCCATTGGAGTTCAACCACATGTGGTAGCTCAGAGGTTAGCAACCCCTGATCTTACCTCCTTTAAGTTGTGTTGTTGGGTTTCTTGCAAAAAATGCTTGACTAAATGCATTTTGATCTCTTAAGAAAAGAGTGCACATTTTGAATCGGTTAACACCCGTTTGTTGTGCTTTCATTGTTTAGAGGACTTGCATTCTGGATATGAACTCTTGCTTTGTAAATATGAAATATTTTGGTGGACCCCTGGGCTTCTTAAGAAAAGTAAAACAAGACTTGTCTTGTGGGTATCGTTAGAGTCTTTCATTGGGCAATAATGGCTGCCTCAACAGTGAGTAAGCTGAATGAGATGAAAGGTTAGGTAGCAGTTGCTCTGTCAAAATATTGTTCTGTTTCACTGAAGTGAGTTGAAGAGGTCATTGGGGTCATGGAACTACTGTAAACTTAAGATCCAGTTAAAAGTGTGAATGTAGAGGCCTTATAATTGTGTTTGTGTGTGCATTGTAGCTTTCTGTGTATTAATTATAGGAATCACTGCCGGATAATTCCAGTTTTCATCAGCATAATTCTACCTACATTGGGGGACGGAACTTGCCGATCTGTTTAATAATGCTAAAAATCATTTTAGAAAAATGTGGGTATTGTTTTAATGGCTCAAGTTCAGCTGGAACTGTTTGGATCTTCAGAAGGTGTCTTAGAGGATCCCGGGCTGATATCATCTTAAAGATTACTCACTTTCTTCACTCTATTTAGGCATCACAGCTAATAGATCCTCGACTGAAATTCCACTAAAGGTTCATGCTGTTCTTTATCCTTATGGGGAAATTCCTTACTTTTGTGTGACGCTAGCTGATTTCCTATTTACAGTTAAAGTTATCTGTATTCCAGGCGGCAAGGATGTAGGTCCCTAGTTCCCAGTTCCTTATTATTAGTTCCCAGTTCAACAGAGAGCTGCATGAGCAGCCTAAATGGGGAACTGAATTTCGTAACATCTTGGCAACCCAAAATGAGATTTGGGGCTACTCATACCTTACATCTCCATGACTAGGAGGCTGTTTCCTTCAAGATACAGCAGAGACATGTAGGGGCATTTCCCTGAATGTGCAAATACCTAAGTGTGGATGGGGGCAGGGACAAATGTTTGAACCCCTGATGCTTCTCAGGATGACATGCAGGAGGCTTTTGAAGCGGGGCTTGTTTGTGCACCCCGCCTCCCATCCACAGATACAGTGTTTGCATATTCCAAGAAATGCACAAACATGCCTCCTTATTCTCTCTGGTCAAAAGCTTTGCTTTTGCACAACACACGATTCCACCCTGGTCATTCAGTGTCACAGTGTCAAGCCTTATGTTATAACTAGCTCACATATGCCCAGGAAGGCTGGCACTTCTTTGCACACATTCCTATTTATGGATGAAGGCTTCAACCAAAAGTCAGACTTTTCTAGAAAGAAGCGACTTAAGAACCTCAAATGGAGAGGCCTCTCCCAGCCAATACACTTTTGTCATAAAAGATTGGTGAGAGGATCACTCCTTCTTTCTCAGTTTATTTTAAACTGCCTTCTTTGGCAGTTTTTCTTCCTCAGAGGAATTTTTATTGAGGGAAAAGAGACCTTTTTAAAGCTATGCTTATTTTTAACTTTGATAAATGCAATGGTTTATATTTCTGCTTTATATATAAAAGGATTTCCCCTTAGTTCCCCGGCTCTCTTGGTTATTGATGGGAGAAAGCTGTGAGTGTGTTGAGATATGGGAGCTCTAAAAATACAATTCAGTATTGGTCACTCGGGCCATATGGAGACAGGATCTTTCACCCCAGAGCTAATAGCACTGTGGGGAATATTTCCACCAAGATCATGGTTGAGGGGAGGGAAGGCTTAAACATCCCCATGTGCTGCAGTCCTAACAAATTTAGATACTGTATTAATATTTATTAAATCATATTCAATTTGAATTGGATGATCATGTAGCAGGGATAAACTGATTTTCTCTCTTCTAAAATGTTGGATAAGAAGGCTGCTGAAAATAAGTAGAATCATAGAATAGAATCATAGAGTTGGAATAGACCACAAGGGCCATCGAGTCCAACCCCCTGCCAAGCAGGAAACACCATCAGAGCACTCCTGACATATGGTTGTCAAGCCTATGCTTAAAGACCTCCAAAGAAGGAGACTCCACCACACTCCTTGGCAGCAAATTCCACTGTCGAACAGCTCTTACTGTCAGGTAGTTCTTCCTAATGTTTAGGTGGAATCTTCTTTCTTGTAGTTTGGATCCATTGCTCCGTGTCTGCTTCTCTGGAGCAGCAGAAAACAACCTTTCTCCCTCCTCTATATGACATCCTTTTTTATATTTAAACATGGCTATCATATCACCCCTTAACCTCCTCTTCTCCAGGCTAAACATGCCCAGCTCCCTTAGCCGTTCCTCATAAGGCATCGTTTCCAGGCCTTTGACCATTTTTGGTGCCCTCCTCTGGACACGTTCCAGTTTGTCAGTGTCCTTCTTGAACTGTGGTGCCCAGAACTGGACACAGTACTCCAGGTGAGGTCTGACCAGAGCAGAATACAGTGGCACTATTACTTCCCTTGATCTAGATGCTATACTCCTATTGATGCAGCCCAGAATTGCATTGGCTTTTTTAGCTGCCGCGTCACACTGTTGGCTCATGTCAAGTTTGTGGTCAACCAAGACTCCTAGATCCTTTTCACATGTATTTTGTTAGCTTGATTCAGGTAGAACAAGAACAGAAGAAATATTACCCTGGACCAAACCACTGCATCTAAATAGTCTTTAAACCTCTTTTGTTGACCAGCAGCATTACACTTTCCATTTTTAAGTTCAGAATAGAGTAGTTGCTTTGGACGACAATAATCAGGCATCCACACAACATGACCAGTCCAATGAAGTTGATGTTGAAGAATCATTGCTTAGACACTGGTGATCTTTGCTTCTTCTAGTGAAGGAAGGTGAGGACAGGTGACCCCACCTAGGCCCGAAGTAACCCCCCCCCAAAGCAGGCTCAAAGCTTCTCAAAATCATTTTCTCAGCAGCTAAGCATCTGCTCATTTGCTCTGCTGTTGCAAGGCAAAACCGTTACTTTTATCAGCACAAGAAGGTTTCAAAAAGCTAATGAATAGACTCTGTTCAAAGCAAGCCTGAGAACTGAATCTTATCTCATTCTAGTTGCAACTTCTTGGACATGCTGAACCGCTCTCCCCCCCCCCTTTCCTGGGAAGGGCGCCAAGAGTCCAAAAGAGTCCCAATACAGGGGAGCTTTCTGTTCATGCTCAGAGGAATTCATGGGCAGGACTCATGCTCCTTCTACCAGTTCATGGATGGTAGAAATAAAAGCCTTTTCTCCGAAACTATTCCTTGAGTGTCTGTTGACTCCCATCTCCCTTTCCCGGGCGCAATATTTTTCCCACCCGAGGGCAAAGCCTCATAAGGCTACACTAGTACACTGGCATTAGTTCACCTGTCCCAATTGAAATGCAGAGTGTTTGAGGACTGGGACATTCACAGGGAAACCAAAATGCTTGTTTTCAAAGATATTGTACTACCAACCTTACTGTATGCTTGGGTGTCCCTATAAGGCCATTAAGACCAAAGTGTAAGGCTACCTCGTGCACCACTATTATCAATAAAAACAAACATCGAGTATTGTGGCACTTTAAATAACACAATTATCCTTTTAATAAAATGATATTGTTTTATTAGTATGAATCTTTTATGAAAGTGGCACAAGACTCTTGGCGGAAGTGGACTTAACACAGTTAGTCTTCTGGAAATGTATCAGTGGTATCAGTTCGGCTACAGAACAGTTCAATAATGTTTTGGTTGTGACATGGCCTGTTGGAAATACAATCTGCCCCTGATTTAGGGACCAGACAGAATAATGCTGTGTGCTTGATGCTCCCAGTTTGCTGTACCTGGTTTAAGGGTTTTTGCTTTAAAAAAAAAATCAATTCCACCTTTCAAGATTCCTGCTAGTTTGTACTTTTGTGAAATAAGCAGTAATTTGATTTTCTCTTTTTAATAAGTCAGTTTGAAATACAGCCATTGGTTTTGTTTGGAAAACAACAATAACAAACACTTTTTCTCTTTCTTTCTGTTACAGTTGCTAGGAGGGTTTGTCTTAGCCGTTGGCATTTATGCAGAAGTTGAAAGACAGAAATATAAAACCCTTGAAAGTGCCTTTTTAGCTCCAGCCATTCTTCTGATACTCCTAGGTATTATAATGTTCCTCGTTTCCTTCGTGGGTGTGTTGGCTTCCTTAAGGGACAACTTATGCCTTCTTCAAGCTGTAAGTACTTTTATATAAGTAGGAGTCTACTTGTAACCTGAACTTGATGTTTATAAAACTTATTTTGTTCTCTATTCTGTAAACAGCTTTAAGACAGCTTATCTAATAGCTTCCTTCTTAGGATAAACAGCAGAGAGAAAGGAAAGTGCAAGATGGATTCTAATATAACCGGTGTAAACGAAGTTGTCAAAGGCAAATGCTTTACTTTAGTGGCACTTAATCATGGTTTTAGAGAAAATGTGGGTGCAGCTGAAAGAGCCTGCTTAAACAAAAGTAAGATTTATGTAAGAAAAGATCAGTGTAAATTCAGGCATATAAAATGTTTTTATATTTAACAAATATTTAACGTGTTTATATAGCTTGATGTTAAAAGCGGAGTCAGGATAAAGTATTTTCATTCACAAAATGTATTTTCTTATTATTTAAACTGAAGTCCATTGATTTACTGACTCCAGGTTAGCAGAGCAGGTTTCTTTCACAGCATGTATGCTTGAACTTTGTCCATCTACATGGTTTTTTTTTTAATGTGTCATATTTTTATATAACATATTTATTAATGAAAAGAGCCCTCTGATCTAAAGTTGCACCATGATTCCTTTTGGGGTAGAACCAGTGATCAATATTTTCACATCAACAGTAAAACAATCAATATGCGTAAAACAATGAATATGCAAATTAAATTTAGAGCAATGTTGAGAATGAAAAGTAAACAGCGAGAATTCACTAACACTACTGTGGTACCTCGGGTTAAGAACTTAATTTGTTCTGGAGGTCTGTTCTTAACTTGAAGCCTCCCGCTGCCGCCATGCCGCTGCTGCACAATTTCTGTTCTCATCCTGAAGCAAAGTTATTAACACGAGGTAATATTTCTGGGTTAGCGGAGTCTGTAACCTGAAGCGTATGTAACCTGAAGTGTTTGTAACCCGAGGTACCACTGTATTAGCCTCTGGTGGGGTGTTCCACTGCCAATCTCATGTTTGCACATGAATTGATGATTACAATATTAGAGTAGCCCACTTGCTCTGCAACACTCAGTCATATGTTTATTAGAGTAAGCTGACCAAGGAGACGAAATGCAAAGTATAAAATACAAAACCACAGCCTCCATGAAACCAATGATTTTAAAATGACAAGCTCAGAATGAAGAATCATAGCAGGCCTATTACAACATTCAGAAGTCTTGCCACCTGCTTAATAATAAATGTATTGATCCCCTCAAGGAAGAAACTGGGAAAGTTCTCTGAAGATCAGTTAGGAAACTGTTTCGTAAGTGAATATATTGTGTGCAATCTTCTGATAAAACAACAGAAAAAGAACTGATGAGAGACCCTTTTGACCTCTGAGAGGTCACACAGAAAGCATCTGCCTAACTAAAGGGAACTAAGTTTTGAAGTGAAACATTAAGATGGGCAAATCAAATAGCTGTTCTGTACTTTGGCACCTAGCAACTACAGTGGTACCTCTGGTTATGTACTTAATTCATTCCGGAGGTCCGTTCTTAACCTGAAACTGTTCTTAACCTGAAGCACCACTTTAGCTAATGGGGCCTCCTGCTGCTGCCACGCCGCCAAAACACGATTTCTGTTCTCATCCTGAAGCAAAGTTCGTAACCCGAGGTACTATTTCTGGGTTAGCGGAGTCTGTAACCTGAAGCGTATGTTACCTGAGGTTCCACTGTATGTGCTTGCATGGTGCTGGCTGCAGTGCCCCCATGCCACAAGTGTCTCCTTGATGACCAAATGTAACAGGGAGAAGGCCCCTCCCCTTTCCGTTTGCCAGATTGCGATGATTTGTGTTTCCCTTCTAGTGAGTTGCCCTCACCAGCCAGTGCTGCATGTTTCGATTTCAAAGCCTTGTAAATTTATAAAGAAAAAATGGGGAAGAAAGAAAAATAACACCCCTCACGTTAACCACTCAGTAAACTTCACTATATTCAAATGTCTGAACAGGTATCCAAACAAAATGGATTTTGTTTGTAAAAAGTATGTTCGAATGTAGCAAGGGCGTTAAGGTCTTTGGTCCATTGTGTAATAGAGTCTAAAACCTGAGTGCTGCACAGAACACAAGAGAGGAGGATGAAGGCAGCTTGGGGACCTGACTGTGGTGCCACAGGTCTGCCTTCATCTCCTGTGCTGTGCTGCTGCTGCTGCCTGCTGCTCATCCTCAGTAGTTGAGAGGCAAGATCACTCCCCGAGGCACATGGGTCTTTGCAGAGTAGCAGTGGCAAGTGCTCCAGTGGCACTGCCTCATCTACAGCAGTTCTAAAAGTTGCTTAATTTCCCTGGAAGTCATGAGTCATGATTTCAGTGCTGAAGATTTTAGATTTTGTACGTTTTCGTAATATTTTTGAAATTCTTTTGCAGTTCATGTACATCTTGGGAATTTGTTTGCTCATTGAATTAATTGGTGGAGTTATGGCCTTAATGTTCAGGAATCAGGTAAGAAAACTGAAATATTCAAGAAAATGCCTAGTTTAAAAAAACTTCTCCCTATTTGTTATGGAAAAATGGAACCAGTACTCACTTATCTCAAAGCAAAATTACTGATTATTATGGAAGAGTCACAGAAGATCATGTATTTGAGTAGCAAGATTGCAACAAAATCAGGGCTTGCAAACACTACTGTAAAAATAAAATTGCATTCTGGCACTCCTGATTCTGTGCCCTAAACAACTACGTAACTTACTGAAATCAAGCAAATTTTCATAATTTCTTACTTTGTGTAATTTATTCTGCAATATTCACTCTTGCCAGCTATAGAAACTCTTTTTATCCTTCTGGCTTTTCAGCAGGTGTTTTCCACAGTTCAAAGTGCATGTTTTTACCTTAAAGGCTAAAACTATTACCATTTAAAAAAATGAAATATGAGATTCTTAGGAAGTTAGATTCAGTGCCTAATACCACACTATATGTTCAGTAGGCTGTGAGTTCAGTTTATTTGTATGTATGTTGTTTTTCCGTCGTCAGCTGTGCCCAAAGCAACTCATTAAGTTATCAAAAATACAACATTTGGGGAAAATCCAGTTTGTAACCAAATGTCAATGTCAGTGAATTCAAGTAAGGCAAAAACTTTTCAACCAGAATAGGATAAATTCAGTATTACAAAGAAACAATTAGACCTCAACAGTTAGACTTAAACAATATGTATGAATGAAGCTAATAACACACTTCAAGTGCTGCTCTTACAGCACTCCAAGAGCCCACACTGGTTTAAATACATTTCAGAGGGGGTTGGGGGCTGCTCATCACCAGGCTAGATGGTTCACAATGGGCTCCCCTTTCTGTCTTCCAGAGGAGACTTGGACAGCAGCAAAAGGGAAGTTCCTGTTAAGGGCCAATTGGTTGAATTTTTCAGGCTTTAAAGAATCTTGTGTGTTACTGTAGTAGGAAAAGAAAGAAAGAAAGAAAGAAAGAAAGAAAGAAAGAAAGAAAGATGGTCTTTACTTCCAAAAAGAAGGAAATACGTATATGATGCCTTGCACTTCCTTCAGTATTTTCAAAAGACACCCATAATTGAGTATTGGCAAAATGAACATTAACTGAGGCTAAAAGCCTGGTAGCTAATAAACTAAAGATTCTGTAACTGGTTGGCAATTCTAACATTTTGTCATAAACTGGGAATAGCTTTGAGTGTTGCCAGAATATAACTTCATAGTGCTTTAGGAAGATAAGGATCGACAAGTTGTCTTTGGCAGTCTGCTACCCCTCTGAAGCTTCCAGTCTGCCTGCTGGCCTTGCATGTGTGCAGTAGCATAAATACGATAGAATGAGACAACTTGCCTCTGTGCAGCCTGGATACGAGCACAATATATAGGCATCAAATATCACTCAATACATTATTTCTTAGATTATGTTATGTGAAGTTTCTTTTCAGATATGGAGAAATGCAATAACATTTACAAGATGTCAGATTACCTTGTTCGGAGATTTGCAAATCAGGCAGCGTGATACCACTGCAGCTTCACACTGGCTCTCTGCCTGTGGCCTAACACGATACAGGACATTTAGGCTGTAATCCTGCACACACTCACCTGGGAGTAAGTCCCACTGAAGTCAGGAGGGCCTACTTTCTTCTTAGAAGACATGTATCACATTGCTCCCATGCCTTGGGAAAAGACTTGAAGCACAGTAAGTTGGTGAAAAGGTTGTATATGTTAAAATATAACAATCAGAAGAACTGCGGAATAATAGCCAAATCAAACAAATGTGAGCAGAGGAAGTTAGCTCAGGTGTTGGAGGGCAACCTCCCTTCTCACATTCTGTGGCTCCCCAGCCAAAGATTGGAATAACCATCCCTCCTTGCTAGGTGAATCATGAGCTGTAGATGTGCCTCAAGCCCCAGTGTTCAGAAGCTTTCATCCAGGCATGCAGCTCTAGTCCAGAGAGCACTCAGCAGCACCGCTAAAGCTTCTTGCTTTGGGTGATAACTTGTGGTTGTCCCCTGTCTAAAAATGCCTCATGGTACCAGTCAACTGTTGTTTTAATTTCCTTCATCAGCCTGCACAGAATGCTTCAGAGGCGATCGGTTTCTGCTTGTTTGCGTCCACCCACTCACACACAACAGCTTGAAAATAGCTCTAAGCACTGGCAGATGGACCCCATTGACCCAGTGAGGGGCAGGAATATCATAATTGATTCTGGGGTGTGGAATATAGCTCCCCCCCCAGACCAAGAGAAACTGCTTGACCACGTGGGAGAACCCAACTCGAGTCTCTTCCAAAGTGAGAGGGATAGAGCAGACTTGTTAATTGGACAGCAGGTTTTTTGCAAAGAGCAAGAGCAATTCATTCTGCGTAGTGAGAACTTGGAATTTCAGCAGCAGCATCCTTAAAAGTCCACAACTATTTTTAACTTGCCTGAGCATCAGTTCCACAAGGCATGGATAAATTCCTACCCGCAGCACTGTAATGTCCCTTCTTAACTTGTAATAATGAGGCATACACTCATTCTGGCTAGGCCCAAAGGGTGGAGATGTAAATTACTTCCTTCCCCCAAGCTTCTCATTTTACAGGTAGGTTTCGGTCAGCCTGTTCCAAGAGCTAGTAAGCAATTCTGAGCCATTAGTGTTTTGGAGAAGCGTGGAGCTTGGTGTTTCCTCTTGCAGCATGAGCTGGCCTGACAAGCCTGTTTTGTCTCTAAAGTTGACGTACAAGTCCTCTGATTTGCAAAGGCTTGTGTACCTTGAATGTCTAACTCAGGGAAACTGATCGCTTGCTAATAATAGTGAAATGAATAAAAGTTTGAGATAATAGGGACCCCCTCACACACATAATAAATTTTCGGTTATGATGCTATACCTTCAGATGCCTTTCCTCAAAGTAGTATTTCTGTTTGAATATTGCATTTTCCCACCATTCAAACCGAATATTGTATCTATGTGAAAAGGAATGGTGCACCAATGGAGACAGGATTCGGCCTGAGCACATCTTGGGCCTCGCAAGAACTTAGCCATTACGGGGTGTATCCTGCTATTAGAATGATACTCATGTGGGAGATAGGTATTTTCTGGTTTGTTTGTTTCTTTGTTTGTTTTAAAGAACCATTTTGTACTCCAGCATTAGATGTTGGGGACAACGGTGCTGATTTGGGCCCCACATTGTGGGTGCCCAGCACGACTTGCCCCCTGCCCACACTGTGACATTATGATGCACATGCCATGACATCATGATGCACGCTGTGGTGTCATGACGTCATAGCGTGGGGCGGGACACAAGCTCCAGCAGCATGGCGACAGGATGACTCCTGCCAAAACACTCACTCTCTCTCTCTCTCTTTCTCTAACTCCACACTCTCTCTTCCACCCCATGCTTGATCTCCCTGCTCTTTCTCACACACACCCTGCCCGAACTCTGTGCTCTCTTCCACCCCAACTCTACACTCTCTCTTCCCCTCCTGCCCGAACTCCACACTCTCTCTCCCACCCCCCGCCTGAACTTTATGCTCTTTCCATGGGGTGTGGAGCCTGTGTGCCAGCTCCTGCATTTTGTGGGTGCCCAGCCCCTATATGGGAAATTTTCTGGGTGCTTGGGCATGCAGGGAGATAGTGTCTGTGGTAGGGGCATATGCAATCTTCAAATTATTTTCTGTGTGCGGACAAATTGGAGGAGAGGAGAGCTTGCTGGTACCCACCACTTGTTGAAGGGAGAGATTACAATCTCCAGGTTGGAATGGTATAGTGGGAGAGTTTTTATCTTCTAAAGCAGTAAAAATAAAGGAAAAAACCCAAATGCTACAAAATGGGCATTGGAAGGATGTATTATTTGTTACTTATGATACATTGCAGGCATTGTCCAACAGTTAATAACCGTATTCCACGCAGCAATGTGAATGAGAGGAAAAATCACATTTTCCCATTTACAAAATACTCCAGTTGGTATGCTGGGAAAATGCAAAAATCCTGTAACAAAGCCACTTTTTCATTAAGTTAGTTCTGTGGATCCTACATAGTGGTCTAAGTAAGATGTTTCACATTTATTGCATGAAAACAACTATTAAACCATAAGCAGACATTTGCAGGAGTAGGTTCTTGTTTTCCTACAATTTATATATTGACAGGGCCTAATACCAGACTAGTTCTTGCATATTGCTTATTTTTAGGGCTGTCAATCAGTTACACATTATTGACCCGTAATCTGCCTTTGATTCTTACATTAAATTGTAGATATCATCATCACCTTTCTAAGATACCAAAGGAAGTGTGAGAACTTACAGCATGTTAATTTTTTCTCTTTCATTTCCTTTTGTAGCAGCTTATCAGAACTAAGATTCTAAAAAGCATTACAGTCATTCTCAGCCCCACTGCTGAATGGACTTGTTAAAACTTGTTGCCAGTTATGGATGGTATGAGTGCATGCTTATACTTTTTTCTTTTCAAATGATGTGTGCTTGATTTCATTTAGTCTTTTTTCCCTTTAGACAATTGACTTTGTAAATGAGAACATCCGAAAAGGGATTGTGAATTACTACGATGACTTGGACTTCAAAAACATAATGGATTTTGTTCAAAAGGAGGTTGGTTTTTGGATGTCAAATTAATCAAGCAGTAGTAGGCTATTCATTGATTCCATGTGCTACAATATAGCAGTAGCTTCCAGCTATTTGCTGTTCAGGTGGATGTGTTGGGGTGCTCAGTGCTGGGGTGGCTTCCTTGCTGACAGTGGACCCCCCCCCCCACTGGTAGAGGCTGGCAGAGCTGGGCAAGGGTATCTCTCCTCCATTCAGACCCTCTCCAGCATGGTGAGTTGGGGGTTTGGATGGCTCTGTTAATTGCTTACAAATCTTATGATTTAATTTCCATACAAACAATTTTCAGGCACTGAGGTGTTTGTCGGAACTTGAAACCCTTGCTGAGGGAAATAGGCCATTGAGAGTTAGAAATTGTTTTGAACCACGGCTGTGTCTTATGCCATAGCATGCTTAATTGACTCATTGGTTTGTGTTGAAATACTTACTGGGTTGCTTTTGCCTTGAGCTACAGAGATGTTAAATGAAACGGAAAAGTTGGATATTTTTTAACATACAGAGAACAGCATGTGTATAGATATATAGATGAAAACTCCCAACATTTAAAAGACAACTTTGACTTTATGGTGAAGATTTTGGACACAACCCAGAAGAGAGGTTCTTTTGGGCAAACTAAATTGTAACGAAGGGAGGTGTGCATAAACATTAACGCTCATTTCAATGAGGCTTGCTCAGAAGACCATGGTGGTGAATTATGTTTCTTATAAGATTTCTTTAAAGGGGACAGGCTTCTTTTAAAAAAAGTCAGGAAGAAATTGTTTTAGGCATGTACTAATTCATAGCTTTCCAAGTCTCCCTTTTGTTAAATGTATACACAAAGTTTTAGAGTTCTCGTAAGTATCAGGTTTATCCTTGTTTAGGTCCCTTCCAATGAGATGTTTAGTTAATGCATTAATGATTGATTAACAGTGTTTAGTTTTCTAGTTCTTGTTTTATAAATGAAATTACATTAGCTATTCTCTTTTACTCTGTAATGATACTCATAAAATCTGGGACAATTCTGTGGTGCATAGTCTGAGAAAATTTAGATGCAGCAAATGGAAGCTGAAGGTCACAAATTGATGCAAAGGAAAGTTTATTCAATCATTTTATGATGCTTATTGTAAATAGCGCATCAAAATCCAAATGTTTTTTGAGTTTGACCTTCAGGAGTGTAGTCATCAGCAGATCTCCGCTTTTGGCTTTGGCTGTTTTGCCTGAAGGAAGATGCTACGTTCAAAATGTATGGGGATTTCATGATATTTTAGCCATTAAATTAAACACACACACACAAATAAATTACACAGTATTCAGAACTTTGGCTAGATAGCTGCTGGCCTTTTTGTTCCTATTTCAACCCTACACATTCATTGCTTTAGTGTTTATCTTTCCTTTTTTGCAGTCAGACTAGACATCATATAGCATAAATTTAAAGCAACATATTGCTTAGGTCAGCCTTTCCCAACTTGGTGTCTTCTGGATGTTTTGGACTATTAACTCACATCAGGTCCAGCCAGGGCATCAGGTTGGGGAAGGATCCCTTATACCTATAATTTGGGGTTCTAAAGTGAATAGGGATTGCTTTGGAATCTGGTAGGATCAGGGCCTTGAGACTTCCTCACAGAGTTCTTTACAGGCTCTTCCTGCCCCTGAATAGAGCTGCAAACAATACACATTTCAGTGGTTTTGTGTTCCATACATTTAAATTTGTGATTAGTAAATAATGTTAGGCACCGCCACACATGCCAATAATAATAATAATAATGAGAAATTAGGACATGAAGCCTCTATAATAATCATGAGGGTTTTTTTCTTATTGATAATAAGGTTCTAAATTTCTGCAACAAGGATTTGTCTTTGTGTAACACCTTTCCCCCCCTCTTCCAAGTTCAAGTGCTGTGGTGGTGAAGATTTTAAAGACTGGTCAGAAAACCAGTACCATGACTGCAGTGCCCCAGGACCACTAGCTTGTGGAGTTCCTTACTCTTGTTGTGTCACAAACAAGGTAAAAGTTATTTATTATTCCGGATTAATTTTGCAGTTACCTGTTTGTTCCTCACATCTCACCAAATGATTTTTTTTTCCCCCATGAAAGAAAATCAGTCTGGCAAGCTAAGATTGCCACCAAGAATGGAAATCTGTACACGGAAGGGTTCGTTATGTGATTCATCTTGCTTGATATGATCAGTGCACACTTAGACTATGTGTAACAAATGGTAAGCAAGTGTACATTTTCCACACAAAAGCAGATCACCCAGAAACAACCTTGGTAAGGATAACAGGCTCTTTCAGTACAATTTCCTAAAAGGAAAAGTTCTAGGAATCCTTTTTAAAATAAATTGGTTTATTTGTGTTGGTTTTCTACAAATATTTTAAGTACTGGATTTCCCCCCCCCCTAATATTTTTTGAAGCAAATGAAGAATTATATCCATTTTCTTCTAGTCTGTTTATGGAATGAAATATTAATTATACCATGTTACCTTTTCCTGACCAATCAAAAATAACCATTAAGAAATGTTTCCAAAGAAAGCATAGTAATAACATCATATCAGTATGATAGAATAAAAAGCTCAACATCATTTGGATGAATTAAAAATTGACGCTCCATTGAGATTTTGTGACAGAGAGGGTGATAATGGAACGCTGTTTAGCAAAATATTTTTGCATCTCTTTTTTCATTATTACCAAATGAAACCAGTAATGTCGCTATAAATAGTATTGGCCTTTTTAGGTTATAAGAGAACATGTTACCACGTATATCACAGAACCAGTCCTTGAAATCTTGCAGCACCGTCTTGTTAACACTCATTTGTCTGGAGGATGCCACACCGACAGTCTTTAAAAAATAAATCAAGATGAATAAATCTTAGCCGCTTGACATGTTTCCAAAACCAACTTGGCTTTTGCACTGGAAATGTACAGATGTGAGCAGTAATTAGTCATTTACTCTCTGGTCATGGAAAAGTACTGTTAATATGTGAGGGCAGTGTCTCTATCTTTGGACAAATTTCATGCAGTACATAAGATTCAGATACTGATACCTAGGTGTAAGCAGCTTCCTATCACAGCCAAGCTTGGGGGCAGCCCACAAATTTGCTTGCCAAGGAACTTTTTTGGGGCCAAGCGTGTTTATGTTCTGCCACCTCTGGCATGGCGCTGCTCAATAGAGCCTAGGAGGGGATGCCTGGGCACAGTCTGCTCAATTTCTCCTTCCACAGGCTATCAGAGCTTGACAGGACTAACTCCCATCTGATGGGAAGGCAGGATTAGGAATGACCTGACTCAGTCCAGTGGCCTCCTCCCACATCTTAGCAGAACAGAGCCAAGGATCTTAAAATGAAAAGTTGGCAGCCCTATGTGCTACTCCCATATCCTGTAATTGCTTAGAGCGGTTCTGCAGACGGACTGACCCTGATTAAAGAGCACACAGTCTTACAATTGCCAGAATGGCGGAGGCTGTTTTGCTGCTCTGCGAGTGAACAGGCATAACTTTCCCTCCAACCCTTGCCTAGTTCTGCAGGTGTTCAGTGTGGTAGATCCTGAAAGGAGGAGATCTGCCTGTGGAAGATCCTAGCTGGCTGGCAGCTTTGATGTCCAAACTCTAGAGCAGTTTTATGGCTTCCTTTGCAATTTGTGATTATTATTTTTTTGCTTTAGGAGGCAAGTTAAATATACTTTATACGTGTGTGTGTGTGTTGTGTGTGTTGCCACTTTGAACAAACCCCAAAAGGGTGGCAACCCACTTGACTTATGATGGGAAAGACAAGAATTGGTGGTACACAGTATTCAGCTGTGTTCTGTGTACATTTGCAGTACTTGTGGAAATTGTACTGGCTGGGCCTGAGCTGGGCTCAGCTGCAGTTGAAGAACAGACACTGCTGTTTGCGTGGAACATCTGTCACGACGCTCAGTCTCACACCTGGAGGATGCTTTAGAGCAGTGGCCCTAGGGCAGCACCATCTTCAGAAAGATGACAGCCACCAAGAGCCACTGCTGAAGGAAGCCTGTATGCAGCATCATTCCCAGTTTTAGGACATACCTAGGAAGCCACCTTCTACTGAGTCGGGCCATATATATGTTCATCTAGCTAAATGCTGCCTGGCAATGTTTCCAGGGTTTCTGACAGAAGTCTTTCCTCGCCCTTCCTGAGGATCTTGGGGATTAAGGCTGGGACCTTCTGGGACAAAGCACAAACTCCATCACTGAGCTGCAGTCTTTGTTGCTGAGAAAGCACTTTCTCCGCTGCCACTCCTGCCATCAAAGGAAGCATCTGAGGCAGCCTATTTTGTTGCCCTTAAAATGCACCTCATATTTGCTACCTGAGGTGAGACCTTCTGCTTAGCACTACCTATAAAACAAAAGGTGCTTTTTCTTCCACTATGCTCAGTAACATGCAAATGTAACTGTTTGCACTCTGAAATGGCCTGGCAAAGCTGGAGATCTTAAAAAAAAAAAAAAAACTACCTATAGCTTAAATCATGCCTAGTTTTATTCAAAGGTTTTCAACTTTGGCATTGCCAGTTGGTTTAGATGATAGAAAAACAATTTAACGATTCCTGTCATAGCTTCCGTTGACTTTCTCTCTTTATCGGAGGTCCTTCATCTTGCTTATTGACCCTTTGCAGGTTTCTGGAGCATCCCAGGACACACCTCGCAAGTAGTCAGTGCATTTATGTGTTATGTATTGTGAATAGTAACTAAGGGCACAAGGTGCTGGGAACTTCTCTGTAAGCCACACTGAAATATGCCTCACATGTGACTAATTTCTATACCACCTTTTCAATGGAAGAAGCGAATTCCATGCAAGCTGTGTTTCGAGAGCTAAACTTGACAACTGTACACACACACATTTCGTTGCAAGTATAGGCACTTGGAAAGTACAATTGCTGTGCACATGAAACTTCCTACAGGAGAATATAGGATGTTGTTCAGCAGAGATGACTGGAAATTAATGGAACAGAAGCACAGATTTGTTGTGTTCTATTCTGTTTCTCCTTTGTATTTTAGTTTAAACCAATTCACAAAGCAAGAACTTATATATTGACCACTAATAATGAACCATATATTGCAGATATTGCTGCAAAATTATTATGCTATTTTTTTGACATGAGAAGACTTGGCCTATTTATTTGTATCATTAAATATCCAAATGATCCTTGTTTATAAAACTCAATAAAAATTGTTTAAAAAAGCAGCAGCAACACAAATTTGTTCTTAAGTGATTTCTTCGTTTGTGCAAGAGATGTTCCCAGTCGACTTGGTCAACAGTAGCAGCAGTATTGTGTGGATATCCTTGTTCATGCCTTGGTTTCATAGTAAGGAGAGTTATGATTTATAAGTGGCATTCATGGGCAAGATTCAAGGCTCAAGCGCCTTAACAGCCCTCAAGGTTGGCCATTCTTGTTCACAAGAGAAACTGTGGCCTTGTGAAACATGTGAACTCTGAATAAATTAGGATATTATCAAGGGCTGTGTAACTGCAAACTGAATTGTGAAGCTTGGTGTAAGTCTTTGAGCTTTTGAAGTTCGGGAGATTGTAGTAATAATTGTGGCGGTAGGCAACTCATTTGTGCCAACTTCACATTTTTATGTGAAAGTACCTTCCAAATAGCATTGAAAATACTTTCCACAAGAAGCGTAGCAGGGGCTCTTAATGCTTACAGTCACTGTTGTTTTCCAGTTTACTCACTGTACTGTTTCAGGCCTGGTAAAATGAAGACATCCAAATATATACTGATTATTTCATAGTTTGCATTATCCAAAAATTGAAAATAAGCTATATAAATATATTCACGTTTCACTGTACTCATATTGTGAAATATATTTTTCCCCCAGACAGCAGTTATCAATACCATGTGTGGATATAAAACTATGAACGAAGAGGTAGGAACATATCTTTTTCCCCATATACAGTTAGCTTTAAGCCATTTGAAATGATCTACTGTTTTGAGGGTACAACTTGCAGTCTTGTGTCTGCACCATCAAGCATTGCTGTTGCAGACCCAGAAAAGGAAAACTCTCCATGTCTTATTTGTTCCTGTGCTGTTTTTTATGCCTTTGCAACCCACACATGCCAAGAAGAGCATGTGTATGATTTGTAAGGCTCCAGTTATCTTCATCACAAATAGATCTGTTTGTGGGCACACCACAATCTGCTGTTTAAGGCTGAGGTAAACAGATCTACTTCTGAGTAAATGCCCAAGCAACAGGGGTTTTGTTTTTTTTTAATAAACACATTTTCTGTGATTTTTGTATATTGTGGGTAGTTCTGCAGTGAGGTTACTGCTGACTTCACTGGAACAAAACATGGATGCGGGGAGCAAGATGAATTGCCTGTTCTTTAGACCTAGCATGTGAGTAAGAGCTGGCACAGAAATACCAGTCTGTTGTTGAAGTTTCTTGCAATGCAAGAATGCATTTTAGGCGGAATTAAATGTTCTGCTAAGGCGGCTGTTGCATTTGCAGTGTGCATTCCTGCTTGCCAGATGAAACGTTCCCCCCCTTTCCTCCCGTTTTGGGGGTTCTCCTGACCCAAGCAAATCTGAGGAGGGTGTAGGGGTCACTCGGGGGACAGAGCCATTGGGCTAGGAAGACTAGTTGTGTTGGCTCCCACTAGTGCCAACAACTGACTTAAATGCAGACCTGTGTCTCATGTGGTTGGTCTGGTAATGTTGGCCTGAAAGTAGGACTGAATTGCTTGCCATCTCTCCCATCCCTTTGCAGCTTAAGATTGGGATAAGATGTAACCAATGGAACTGGAATGGCAACTTGAACTCAAAAGTAATTTACTAAAAAATATGTACTCTTTCAAACAAGGCTCTAGGGATCTCTCAGGGCACCTAATGTTATATAAAAAATCATTTTAAAAATCCAATTAAATCATAACGCAACCAGTGTCATCTTATAAACAAATAATAATAATAATAATAATAATAATAATAATAATAATAATAATAATAATAATATCTTTATTGTCATTGCCCCCTCTCGGGGACAACGAAATTACTTGGCTGCTCCATCCACCCAGGTAGGGCACTCCACACAAAATCAAAACAACTATAAAAACACTAATTAAAACAATGCAGTATAATACAGCAAGGAAAATTAGATGACTTTCAAAGTCCAGGCTTCCCATTCAGGGCCGAGATCGCTCTGGAGAAGAAGCTGTTCTTAAGACGGCTCGTTCTTGTCTTCATCGTCCTGTATCTCCGTCCCGACGGCAGGAGCTCGAAGAGACAGTGACCAGGATGCGATGGATCTTTTATGTCCAGTGCCTTCCTATGGCACCTTGTGGCATAAATCTGCTCTAAGGTGGAGAGTGGGCAGCCAACAATGCTCTCTGCTGCCTTAACAACTCTGCACAACCCCATCCTGTCCTGGGTAGTACATCATCGGCAGTAAACTGCCCTGGCTGGAGGGGCAGTCTCTTTTGAGAGGCACTGCAGAAAAATCCCTGCTCTTTGGCATTAGTCTGGACTTTGACAAAGAGGGAATTGGAAGCAACACCCACTCAGACGATCTCAGTCCTAGTATCTGGGGAGGCGTAGTATATGGAGTAGACATTTTCAACCTGCCACATAAAACCCACTGAGATCCCAGCAGTAAACTCTGTGTGTGAAATTCAGTGGGGCTGTTAGCATTGAATACAGGGCACATACTGTCTCAGTAGACAAATCAGGCTGTTTACTTAAAATTCTCTGTTGTTACTTTACAGCGCCTGAGTGTTCAACACGTGATATATGTGAGAGGATGCACAAGCGCTGTACTGATTTGGTTTTTGGACAACTATGCCATCATGGCTGGCATTCTGCTTGGTATATTGCTGCCACAGGTAAGGCTGGCAAGACTCTAAAAGGAAATATTCAGGACAAGGCCTTGGCTCCTTCCTTCCTTGTTGGTTTGTGAGCCACAGTTTGCAGCTTTGATGCGTGGCATGGGGTCAGTTGTTTCCTATATGTGTTTTGGGCTGTCAGAGAGGGTGGCAAACTTCTCTGTTAATTATCGGTCAGTTTGCAGTAGAGCTGGACCCCTTTCAGTGTGGTCCGTAAAGACAGACAGCAAGACCTGTGAAACTTAAGTGCTTGGGCATATATTTAAAAGACATACATATATATATATATTATATATAAAATTATATTTTGCTCTTAGAACTTTTGAAAATCCTTTATGAATGATACTGTGGAAAACATTTTTACAACTGACTAAATTGCTTCATGAATCAGATTGGGCAATCAGGCTGTTTGTTGACCAGCCTTGGTGTTAATGATTCTGATGCCTGCCTGGATGATTCCTATGCTGCTGGTCTTGGAAATAAGTAGCCCTGGCAAGGATAACTAATATAAATGGTACGATATGTTGAAAGATTGCAGTTGGCAAGGGTGATCGTGTCCTGTTGAATTAGCGTTTCCGAACAAAATATTTGTAGAAATGGCAAACATTGCACATCAAACTATATATGTTACACAAACATTACCTCATTTAACAAATTGGGAAGGAAAGGGTTTATAAGCCCTCCTGTTTTCCTCTCCTTCCTTATCAAAATGCTATTGCATATGTCCTCTGAGAAAGTATAACTCCCATGAGATTTTGGGGGTTTTCCCCATGGCATGCTAGCAGCACACCAGAGAGGGAAGGGAGAAATCCAGGGGGATTCCCGACTGCGATTGAATCCCACCTGAAAATACTCAAATGAGTAATTTGGGTTGTACAACTGCAGTTGATTGGGAGGTTCTGTGCAACAAGCTCGCTTCCCCCAGAACCAGACTTTTAAAGTGATGAGAAGATGCACTGGGAAGTATAGAGTAATGCTTGCTTTGGCATAATGTCTTCTGGAAGCAACCCCAATCTTTCTCTTCTCGTGGCATTTGGAGCACCACTCCCACTTCCTCTGTGCCATCGAAGAAGTTTAAATTAAAGAGGAGGGGAGGAGGGCTTAGGAGGATTGTGATCCTGGCACCAATAATGTTTTGAGGATCGGAGTGGCTAGGAGGGAGGGAGATTTCTCAAAGTAGCTTGGAAAATGTCAGGCTGTTTTTGACCTTTTGGGAAATGCCTTGGCTTACTTCAAAGCTGTTCCATTTTGGTTTGGGGAAGGCTTGCTCTTGTCTAACCTTTGTCAAGAATCTCAGTGATTGACTTCCTGGGGAATTATATTCAAGCATCCATCCTTTGGATGGTGTAGTGATTCATTGCTGTCAAGTCTTGCTTTTCCGAAAACACTTTGTTTTTCTGTGTGAAATTCCTTAGCTCAGGCAGCAATGGTCTGAGATCCATTTCTCATGTTTTTAGTACTTTGGGCACTGTGCAAATCATGTGTGAAGTGCACCAAAGTGCAAATTTCAGCACATTCAGAGGTGCCTTTTCTGAAGGTTTTTAAGAGGACAAGTGCCAAATTTTAATATGTCTGAATTATCCACACTTGTTGCTAGGTGCATGTTATAGAAGCACAGTTGTTATAGAATCGGAAGGGACCTTGAGGGCCATCTAGTCCAACCCCCTGCAGTGCAGGAATCTCAGCTTGTGTCCTTTGATATCTGAGTACAAACTTTAAAATGAGAATTGTTTCCCCCAAATGAGCAGGAATTGTAAACTGTTAGTGAATGGTGCTATTCTGATCATCCTCATCACTTTATTTTGCAGTTCCTTGGGGTTTTGCTGTCTTTGCTTTACATCACCCGAGTAGAAGATATAATTGCAGAACACAAGCTTAATGAGACTCTGCTTGATGGAGGGAGACGGAAGGCGGACATTGAATTTACTAGCGCTGGGTGCTGTATGTGTTATCCTGAGTGATCCCCAGGTATTCCTTTAAGAAAGACAAATGACTAACATCCCTTTGCATTGTGCCTTGACTGTAGTCAGAACTTAATGTGATTTGCAAACAATAGTCCTTAGGAAACAAACCTCCCAATTCTTTCCAGACTTTAATTAATTTTCTGCTCTGAGCATTCTTTACAGTTTCACTGGCTTTGAGCTTGAAATGTGTTGTCTCTTGTGGCATCTAAAAATCTAGCCAGTTTCCTGCTTTACGGTAAACAGTATAGCTAATCTGGGAGGGAAATGGTTGTGAAAATTAATACAATAATTATTGTAGCCAAACTGACTATGTACTAGGGCTGTTTACGTTCCCTATGCAAGGATGTCGCTAACAACATAAAATCATATTTTCTTCTTTCTATTTTTCTAGTCATTTTCAGAACATGGTAAGATTACCAATGCAGGGGCCACAATCTCAAGTTCACTCTAAAATATTTTTTTGGTGACTTTCCCACCTCAGAACGATGGTTAGCTTGAAGTAGCCATTTCCTAATTTTTTTCCAAAGGATATTTGCTACTTTGTTTTTTATTAGCTGACTGAATTCAGGCTTTTTAAAAACTTGAAAATTTTGTGTAGGTTCTTTTTATTTTCAAGACTTGGGTCCTACCACTAGGCAGATTTATTCACGGCAACTGCAGATCATACTATTTTGTGGGCATGTTCAGTTTTGGGTGGAAGCCTGTGTAAGTAATACTTACTTGTCCAAATTGTGTCGTTTAAAATACTGTGCAATCATGTTTTGATGCTGCTTCTTATGGGTTAGGGAAAGCACTCTGGAGGCCTTGATTAATCTTTTGTGCCTTTCTACTATAAACCACTATCTGGATTAAGTCAGATAATGGCAGCTTGCTTTGATGCCAATTTAATTTCCTAATTTATATATTTTTGTATGATATTTGGTATCCCTGATTAATTTGAGTCCTGTATGTATTGTGATGTACTGTATTTTTCCTGCCTATTGACTGGAATTCTGGTGTGTACAGAGATGCAATTCTTTATATAGAAAATAAATTTAATGATTTTGTAAAAAAAGAAAAAGGAAAACCTTTTTTAACGTCATAACCAAACAAAATGTTTTCATAATCATTGCTTCTAAGGTGAGGAACCAAATGCAAACCAAGACATGCATTTTTTTAGTACCACTGAATGGTTTTTCAATCAACAGGTCACATTGACAGCAGCGTGGCACTTTCAAAATTTTATTTTAAAAAAATGTACAAAGAGGAGGTACATTCCTGCTCACTTACTCTTCAAGAGGAGCGTGGCGTGACAACACCTATTTCACAATCCCAATTGTTCATCTGTAAAAACATCTTAATTTGGCAGGCTATCACCAATTAGAAAAAACAAGTCCTAATTTCATAAGATAGAGGAGAGACTCCAGCAGGGTAGCTGTTCTCCTAATGGCTCATTAATGCCGTAGTCTATTTCCAACGGTTTACTCTCAAGAGCTGCATGTAAGCAAAAAAGAGGAAGATGCATGTCAAGCAGAAGAGGGCCAGCTCATTCTCCCAGAAACCCCACGTGCTGTAGTCAATTTCTTGGTCCTTCATGTAATGCTCTCCAGGGACCCTGAAGGAAGAATATGGGAAGTAGGCTGCTGGTAAAAGCCCAGGGAACCCAGACCTTCTGAGCATTGCACATTAAAGGTAAAGGTACCCCTGCCCATACGGGCCAGTCTTGCCAGACTCTAGGGTTGTGCGCCCATCTCACTCAAGAGGCCGGGGGACAGCGCTGTCCGGAGACACTTCCGGGTCACGTGGCCAGCGTGATGAAGCTGCTCTGGTGAGCCAGAGCCGCACACGGAAACGCCGTTTACCTTCCCGCTAGTAAGCGGTCCCTATTTATCTACTTGCACCCGGGGGTGCTTTCGAACTGCTAGGTTGGCAGGCGCTGGGACCGAACAATGGGAGCGCACCCCGCCGCGGGAATTCGAACCGCCGACCTTTCGATCGGCAAGCCCTAGGTGCTGAGGCTTTTACCCACAGTGCCACCCGCGTCCCCTTGCATTGCACATTACCCCATAGCTAACAAGCAGGCAAACATTGTTGAGAAAAGCTTCTGGAATATAACTCTTACTTTGCAAACCTGCATGTCGTTTTTCAAAAAAAACTCACTGAATTGTCTTTTTATAAAAATTAAATTCATGGAAAACAGCTTGTAATGAGACCTATCAGCTGTGATAGCTAAAAGGTGCAACTTCAGAGGCAGAATTCACCTTCCCACTCAACCGCAGGAAGAGGGGTTGGTATCAGTTTTGATTCACCCTAACCCTTCCCTGCCCTTCCAATGGCAGAAAGTGGGGGGGATGCCAGGGTGGATGGAAAGCCCCTTGGGCTCCACAGTATCCCATGGCCTCATGTTTCTCCAACACACCACTGACAAGGGAGGGGAAATGCAAGCCCTGGAGGTGGAACACTTACTTTCCCATCCAGCTGCTCCCAGCCCTAACTTTTGGTCCTGGCTGGTGTGAGACCAGCAGAGCTCTGGATTTGCCAGCTTTTCTGCAAGGGTTCTCTGTTTCCCATCCCCCATTAGAGTGCTCTCCCCAACAGGATGGTTTTTACCTGGTAGAGTTCAAGTAGAAGACTCTTCCTTTAAGTTCATTGATGGTCAGAGCCTGAAATTGAAACATGCATTTTACAAACGCAAATTATTGGGGTGGGGGAGACATTTTTGACTGTCAGGTCACCCAGTTTCTGGGTGCTTTCATATTGCAAACAAGTTCAGGTATAAGTTTGTTTGCATCATGTTTTTTTTTTAAAAAAACTTGGGTGGAAAATAAATCTGGATTAATTTGGGGTGGGTTAGACATTTTGATGCTGATGCCACAGCTCAGGCTAGAGTGGATGTTACAATAAACTTGCATGAGCATCAGAACCAGTTCCAGAATCACCCATTTGTGACACTTTTCTCCCCAAGTGCATTTTTGTCATTGTTATTTTTTGCAAAAGGGAAAGAAAAGATAACTGGAGCTAGGTGTACAAAGCAGTGTTGGCAGATGGGAAGTGTCTGAGCATTTAACCCAGTGTTTCTCAAACTTGGGTCTCCAGCTGTTGTTGGACTCCATTGTCCCTGACCAGCGGTCCTGCTAGGTAGGTATGATGATGCTTTGGTTCAACAACAGCTGAAAACCCAAGTTTGTTAAACACTGATTTAATCATTTACCTACCCACTGATTCTCCTCCTGGGAGACTCTCACCAACCCCTTCCCAGCAGACTTCTTTCCAGACTTGTACGCCAGTTGGGGAAATAACCTTTAAAACATATTGGGGAGGGAGCTGCAGTTGGAAAAAAGTCAGTCCCTGTGACTCACATTCATGCCATATCTGTAGATACTAATCCATTTGATCCAGGACAGCCAGCTCAACATGGAATTGAGGTTTACAAGAAACCCACCAAAGACCTGCAGGATATAGGATGCCCAAACAAACAAGCAAATAATTAAAGACCATGGTAAGAACTTGACACGTCCCATGGGGTTCATTAAGCAGCGACAGGCACTCTGAGTCATGCTCCAAGTTTGGAAGCATTAGCTTTCGCTTTTGGTTAACCACCAATTGTGGTGACATTAGGAGTACCAAATGGATTAATTTTCAACAAGCCGAACTTCAAACCACGGTTTCTGAAATTGGCTTGACTAACCATGACCAACATTAACCACAGTTCCAGAATGTATGGTATTGCTGCAATTAGTGTAAGCTAAGGCTTCCAAACTCCTCCTTAGGAGGGAGTGGGGAGCAAAAGAGCTCTTTAGGGGACTGGGCTCATTCACATCTTGCTTAACCATAGTTTGATGTGACATTTGGATCTAGCCATTCTATAGTTTGGCTAGAAGTCACAGAAGTGAGCAAAGCAATGAGGGACGAATACTTGGTGCTTTTGGGGCTACTGTTTGTATCTGATTTCAGTATCTTAGTTTTGTTGGTTGCTGTAACGTCTAACTATACCCTAGAAATTTCATACGCAGAGCTCAAACTCCAGCAGAAACTGTTTTCTAAGTAGCCATGCACGTTATTAAAAAAGGGTGCACCATCCATATGAATGTTTTGAAGAACTGAAAAACAGAACAGCTTACCATCATGAAGACGTATGGAAGGGCAATCAAGAGGTTGGCAATGGCAAATGCATTGACACTGGCGCTCACTAAGAAAGCCATGCTCACTGCTGCAAGGTTAGTCAGGCTAAGAGACAAAACGTGCAGGAAGAAAGATTCTGCATCATATTTGAGACCTGGAGGTGGGCAGAAAGAGAAAAAGTTGCATGGCACCCTTCAAACCCTTAGCTTAGGGATGGGGAACCTTTGGTCCTCCAGAAACTGCTGGGACTACAGCTCCCATCATTCCTGGTCACTTTGGCTAGGGTTGATTAGAGTTGGGAGTCCAAGAGCATTGAGTGGGCCTCAAGTTCCCCATCACTGTCCTAGCTCATTTAGTGCTTCTATCCCTGCATCCATTCGGGTTCTCCTAAGTGGCCTTTGGTTGGTTGTTTCCCTTCGTAAGTTTCCTGCTTGAGGAAATGGATTCGTGTCTTACTTTGGGCAAATATTTATGTGTTACTGACTGCAGGGCTGACACTCCCAAGAGAACAAAAAAGCATAGCTGATGATGGACTATTCAAGGTTGTGAGGGGGGTGGGGAACAGATCAGAGGCATATTTGTGTACAGAGTCTCCTGCTGAAGAGAGATTTCCAAGCTTTGTTCATGTTTGGCAAAGAACAAAAAGCTCACAAAGGAGGAAAGAGAACAGTAGCTGGCTGGATTCATGCATCATTCTCTGCAAGAATCCCAGCAACCAGCAGATCACGGTCCATTCCTAGATAACCTGTTGGAAATTGGTCTAACAGTGAAACTTGGCCTACTCTCTGCTCACACTGTCGTTGATATGTTTGCTGACCTTTTAAATTAAGTGTGTGTGTGTTTAAAAATCCTTAATTTGTGTCTTATTTCCACCCCCAAAAAAGATTTGGACTGGAAGAAATGTCACACTCCCCACCCCTTATGTCACCACTGCTGCCACCAGTTGATGGTTCAGATCAAATAACGTAACACTGTACTCACCCATCATGAAATAGGAAATGGAAGAGAACAGCAGGACAGGCAGGATTCGATTGGGAACGAGATCAGCAAACACTTTGGCTAGAAAGTATGCAGATGTCCTATAGTAACCTCTGGCACTCTCATGGCTAGAAAAAGGAAAAGGAGGAAACTCAGGGTTGTATCCGGTTGTGTCTCCATACTGACAGAAAGCTCTTTGGTTCCAGGTGATGTTGAAAGCAGGGAGAGGCTATTATAGCCAATTCCCCCTTCCCTCTCCAGCCCCTGCAGCTGCATAAAAAATCTGCAGGGACAGCATGGGAGGAGAAATGCAGGGAGGGAGGGCCGCAAGAGGTAAAAAAATGGATAATATTTTTCAACACCATCCACTTTCCTGGAACCCATCAGAGCCTTCAATCAGCAGAGGGACACAAAGATACAACAACTCTACATTAAGAATGTATTTTAAAAGCTGTGCCACCCGCACAGGATTCAACAGGTGAACAAGGTTTTCAGGAAGGTGGATCAGAGACTGTTTTAGGGTAGTGCGCCATGCTGCAGGGAGTGCCAAAACATTGATGAAGAATGGAATAGGAGAGGTGCTGAAATTTGAGAGCCTCAAGTCTACCACTGGGTGGATTTCCATTCCCGCCTATAAAAAACAGTGTCACAATGGAACCAAAGTTCCCCCTCAAGTAAGAGAGTGGAATCATCTCTCTTGGAGACATACATATTCCGGGTCAAAATACTCTTGGGGCCAGTGGTTGGACCGATGGCCTTTCCAGTTCTACAATCCTATCTCGAGGTGCAAGGCTGGGGCATGGAAGGAAAAAAGAGGGGGAGTTGTTTTTACAGCTGATGATTTCAACCTTGCTCCCACTTCTAATCCTGCAAGCAAAATTTGGAGAGGAAAACCTGCATTGGCTAGCTCCTTGATGCTATAATTACACCATTACACATCTAATTAAATTTGAGACTCTGCAGGCACAGTTTTCTGGAAAGGCCGTGGCACTGGGCATGTCTATTACAGAATGGATTTTCTCGGAAGCAGGACTGCTGCTCACATGAAGAGCTTTCTGTCGTAGATGAAGAGCTCCACAGCTGACAAGTTCCCAAAGATCTGAGTGAGAACCATGAAAAAGAAAGCTCCTAGCCTGCAGCAAAAAAAGAACAGATGTATGAAAGAGGAATTACATATAACTCCATGCATGCTGCAGTTATGCAGGAGTGCAGACTGCCATATTTAGTGCAGAATTCCACTGCCAGACACCCACCCACTTACACACTTGGCTTTCATTTTAAAAGGGCAGGTTTCTAGCCAGTATGAAAGTAACAGCTTGAAAATGCATGAGAAATGCCTACTGATACTGGAAATGGCAGAGAGGCAGTTGAGTAAGACGTCCAGTGGTTAGAAGTGTCCCTTTCCACAAGTCAAGTTTGCAACTGTGCAAATTAGCAGTAACAGCATAATTCTTCTTCATTAAGAAAAATTATGCCATTTCATTTCAATTCCCTCCCTTCATTTACTGCACTCACATATTGTATGGATTTTATATCAATTAGGGGGTATCTACTTTGGGTTCTCTCTGTGTCTCATTTTTCCAGTCTGCAATCCTGCACATTTCCACATCAGTTTGGGATACTTCCCCACCCCTTACTCAAATGCTCATAATAATTTGTCAGCATTTTAATTCACATTCTTCCAACATTTTTGCATGCATTTTCTTTATTATAATACATCTTGCATGTTATTTTCACTAATATTTGCATTTTTACGTACAACTGTCCCCCAATATACACACATTTATGTATACATCACTGCAGATGTGAATGTCAAAGGATAGCTATATTTTGGTTTGCAAATTGTTCCAAGAAGTGCAAATTATGCAGTTGTACATCAAAATGCAATCTGACCCCGATTTTGCCCGCATCTCTAATCCTGATGAGATATTCTATTCTCAGAGGATTGCATCCAGAGGAAACTGCCAGGAGTCAGTCTGGAACTATAAATAGCTTCTGGATTCACCCAAGCTACGATTGCTGAGGAGGCCCATCAGGATGCTCAAAAACATGTTAAGCTTCCCACTGGACATGCTAGATCACGGGAGAAAGAAAGGTGGTGAAATGCTGTGCTCTAGAGCCACCTGAATAGGAGTGAGCACCTTACCTGTTCTGTAGCGCTTCCGGCAGAGTGTCCGGGATTTGGTAGTAAATGAGCCCCACCAACAAGGAGAAGACCATGCCCAAAAGGATCTGACCAATGGAGGTCTGAGGATTCCTCAGCAGATGCTTCACATTACGGCAACTCACAACATACAACTAGAGAACAGCATGGCATTAATAGCTTGACATGAGGGATCTCTCTCCCTACTTCTTGACAATCCCCCCACCCTAAAGATGTTGCTATCTGCGAAAATGTCCACCTTCCCAGCAAAGTGGCGTCCCATGTTTGGGACAATTATCTGGAAAAACCAAAACAAACCAAAACAAAAAGAAACCTTTTACGTCATAAACAGACCAGATCCACTGAAATGGACAGACTTTGGTTAGTTCAGTCCATTAATTGTTATGGGTCTGCCCCAAGGAGGACTTTGTCGGGTACCATCCTGTGATTGCACTGCACACACAGCCTCGTTGCTCAGGGCAGGCGTGTCGCCATCTACAACGGGCTTAATGATGTATCACATTCCTCATTCAAAGTGGCAGACATCATTCTTAGCAGTAGAACGCAAATCAGAAGCACTGCTGCTGCCCATATGGCATATGTACAGTCACAGAGTTTGCTGCAAGCAGCAGAAGGCAAAACTATAGTAGCTGTTGATGCTGATGTGAGTTCTAAATACAATATTGGACACAGAGCTCCAGCTAACGAGAGTTGGGGGTGTTTTGGTCAATGATTTAGGAAAAGGAGGATAGCCCTTCCTTGGTAGTTGTATGGAGATTACTGTACAGAATCATGGGGTGGGAAGGGTCCTGCAGTCCAGCCCCCTGCAATGCAGGAATCTCAACTGAGAAATGGCCATCTAAAGAAGAAGAAGAAAGATTTTCAATGTCCCCACATTTGGTTAAATAGGTAGAGAAAACAGATTGTAGCCCAGTTTCATTACAGGTTTATTTGAATGGATCAAGGCAAATGTTGTGCTTATTTGCGGATCCGTCACCCTTTCTCTGTTCCTGCCCCTGTTCCCAGCCCTTTCCCCCTTCACCTGTTGGGCGAATGAGGTGGCATAAGTGGCTTTTGATGTGGTAGCATCGCAGCCTTGGTTCTGGAATGACTGTAGTTTTTTCAGATCTTCTTGCAGCTGCTCATAGTAGGAGGACTGGTGGTAATAACTGGAAAGTGCGTTCTTGTCAAGGGAACAATTGCTGGAGAAAAGGCCATCCTTCTTGTTGCCTGCTTCAAACAAAAGGTAGATTTTTAAAAATAGACAGTTTATTCATCTTAAGATACAAGCAGTATGACCCAGTTCCTACCAGCCCAAGGCATTATATGTTGCTGGAGGCGAAGGACAAGATGGCAGCTCCACATTCCACATGCAAAAAAAGGACTGGACTGGCAGTGGAATCTTCCTGCAACAACAGTGACGGGGCAGCACCCCACTCTGCACCTGTGTGTACAAGGCCCTGGGGGTGGGCTGCAGACCAGACCACATCATTCTGCCCTTCGATACCTTGCCACCTAGTCAGCCATGGTGCCAGCATGCATCCCATGCGCTGAGCAACATAAGCGCATGTGTAATGCCTGCTGGAGGGCATGGCCAGGTGGGATAACCACCACCTCCAGCCTGCTCGTTTAGTAAGGGACATTTCTGACAGACTGCTTCCTCCCCACCCAGCCCCAGTTACCTGCTGTTTGAGGTGGCCATCTCACTTTGTCTAATGGTGGCACTTTCCCTGATCAATCCCAGCTAAAAACGAATGTGATTTCTGTTAGCTATCTTGGCATCAGGTCGCAATCCGTTTGGTCACATCAGCCACCCATGCCAGCTACCAACCGAGCGACACTTGCAACTCTCTGCCAGTGCAGACCCCCCTCATCCACCTGCCAAGCATGCAGGTGGCAGGTTCACCAGCAGGACACCTCCTGGAGGAACCTTGCAGAAGGCTTCCAATTGTTCCAAGGGCAAAGCAGGTCTGGATCCCAAGCTACTCTTAAGTCAGCGCTGGCTGGCAAAGGGTCTGAGTCAGGCCCAAATGCTGCATCAGCCTGAAACGGATGTAGGGATTGGGCCAAATTTGCTTCTGACCCACCACTTTTCACGGGTGCCACTGTGGGTAGCAGGTGTGGCAGAAAATCCATTGCTCTTCAGAACCTCAGTGGTGGCAGTGGCAAATTACAACTGCTTCTGCCAGGAAACTTTGTTTTTGACAAGACATGACTGCAGCCAGACTCAGGGCAATTTGACCAGGGTGCCCTAAAAATAGCATTGCATAGGGCTAGTCTAATCTTCATTATACACTGGGAAGGAGTATCCAACGATCTTCAAAATTACCCATCATTTCAGTGTACAAAGCTCTCATTATGGCTCGTTTTCATGCGCCTGTATAGTTCCGGCTTGTGGGAGACCAGCAAAGGCTGATCTCAGTGCTATTATGGTGTTAGTGGAAAATTAAATTTCCCGAATGGCTGTATGCCATCTCCTACTTCAAGCCTGATGCAGACACATTAGTTTCACTGTGGGCTGCATTGCTTCAGTCTCCATTTATTAAAGGCTGAGCATAAAAGGCACAGGACAGAGTACACAGAAGGGATGGTAACTGATGATAATTTGGCACTGTTAATCATTTGTTGGGTGCTACTTCCTGGGCTCAGCAATGGGCGTTTTTTGTTCTTGTCCCTGATAATATGTAGAGTCTCCTAATCCCACCATTCTGTTAATGGTGGGATAATTATAATTCTCAACAAGGGTGCTCAAATAGTTTCATTAATTGTTACACCTCACTCCTGTATGGCAGGTCAGTATTAATATATCCATATTGCAGATGGAGGCCTGAAGCCAAGAGCATGTGGCTAGTCTGCAGCCAACAAGGTTCTTTCAAAATGAGGGGAGATTTGATTTGAATCAGATTCACAGCTTACTCTTTCAGTCCCTCTCCTACCGTTGTTCTCAGGCTTACCTCCAAGCAAAGGTAGAGCAGCAGAGGCACTTGCGAGAATTTAAATGTTGCCATATCTAATGGATGGTCTCTGTCCTTGGGAAGGCAGGCCCTGCTGTCTGAAAGTCAGGCTTCCATAACCACAACTACAACCATTATAGTTTGGGAAGATTACTCCCCCCCCGACTCCCGTTCTCAAACTAAATCAATTACTGGAGGAGGGAAAACACTCACCCAAGTCATGTTGAGGCTGGGACTGTATCACCTCCCCACTGATTACATCCAGAAAGAAGTCCAAGGGATTGTTAAACTGCTCACACTGGTAGCCTGAAATTGAAATTCATGTGAGAGGGAGACACACAAAGACAGGCCTAACTTCAGCTTCAGTTCAGGGCATCTCCTGCCACAGCTCATGATGATTTACTGGACACAGAGAAGAAATCAGAATATTTTTACGTGCTGGCTTTAGAAGTTCCACCCTGTCTTCCTCCAGACGTCATATGTGCTTTTTGTTTCTTTTCTGGGAGAGACACTTTTCTTCCTTACCAATGCTATTGAAATAAGTTGTGGCTTCATCTGCTGCTCCTGCAAATATTATTTCTCCCTTGCTCATCAAGGTCAGATGGTCAAAGAGCCTGAAGATGGAGTAGCGCGGCTGATGAATTGAGAAGATCACCGTCCTCCCTTTCCTGGAAAGTCTGCAAAGCAAATAAGGCTTAGTTGTTGGCATGAAAGAGGTCCTTTGCACATGGCTGCCACCAGAAAGCGCTCAGCAATTGCTGAGTTCTAGCCCTGGCAGTGTGTTCCGAGGACGATGTGTGACTGCTGCTATGCAGATAGGTATTCTTTTAGGTGGTGTGTTAACCGCCAATAAGTAATGTACATTTATAAAAGAAAAAAATCGTATGCAGATGTTGCTTCACCTGCAGCAGATTTCTCTGCCATAGAGGCAAGCTGCTTCTTAAACTGGACGGTGGCTTGTCTCTTTAGCAATGGGGACTACTGCAGTAGAAACTGCATGTTAAGCTCTGGCTGTAGGAACGCTAGTTTCCCATGCATGCATATCACTTCGTTGCCTCATTAGCATTTTTGGGGGGGGGGTTGAGTGGGTGTGTGAGAGATCTCTGAAGACTTACCGTATTTTTCGCCCTATAAGACGCACTTTTTCCCCTCCAAAAATGAAGGGGAAATGTGTGTGCGTCCTATGGGGCGAATGCAGGCTTTCGCTGAAGCCTGGAGAGCGAGGGGGGTCGGTGCGCACCGACCCCTCTCGCTCTCCAGGCTTCAGAAAGCTATCCGCTAGCTGTGGGAGACCCAGCTCTCCCACGGCTAGCGGAGAGCTTGCCTGCACCCAGAAGCTTGGGGCGCGCTGAGCTCCGCACGCCCCAAGCTTCGGGATTAGCGCAGCGGTCCGCTAGCTGTGGGAGCGCCGCGCGAAGTCACGGGGCTCTCCCGCGGCTAGCGGAGACCTTGCCAGCACCCAGAAGCTTGGGGTGCGCTGAGCTCCGCACGCCCCAAGCTTCAGGTTTAGCACAGCGCACCTGGGGGGGGGAAAAGAATTTTCCCCCCTTTATTTCCCCCCAAAAAACTAGGTGCGTCCTATGGGCCGGTGCGTCCTATGGGGCGAAAACTCACTGGTGCAACAGCTGCATGATGGCGTTAGCTGTGTTGGCATCCAGCCCTGTGGTTGGCTCATCCAGAAAGATCAAGGAAGGCGAAGTGATCAATTCCATGCCAATGCTGCACCGTTTCTTCTCACCCCCTGAAACGCCACGCAGGAATTCAGTCCCAATCTGACGCCACAGAAAGAAGCAGGGAGCGTGGGAAGAAAAGGATACAAAGGCTTAAAAAAAATCCATTGAATTGACCTTCCACCAAAGACAAACCGTAACCCAGCCATTCTACCATTTCCTGTTTCATTAACATTCACCATTCTAAAGCAGATGCTGAGAAGCTTGGTTCTCTGTGGAAATCAGGGACAAGACAAGGGAATGGGCTTCTTCTGTTACCTTTCTATGTAAGGGATCCTCATCCAAGCACAACCCTCGTGCAAGAGCAGAGGAGGAAGTCAACCTGTGTCAGGGGATATGTAGCGTCTCCTCTTCACAAGGTAAGTGTGGAGCAGGGGCTCATGGGGCTGAATAGCCTCCAAAGAGGGAGACTCCGGCACAAAGAAATCTAGCAAGTTAGGGAGAAGAATAGGCTGGGACCCTTCTCTCCAACGTGCCAGTCTTCCATATACAGGAGAGTGTTTTATCATGCAAACTCCCACCTGCAGCCTGGAGCCCCCAAACAGGCTTTCCTGAATGTTTGTAAGAACTGGGCCTTCTCTAAGGTGTACAACTCCAGATGTCACGTAATCCCTGAACAAGGACCATGATGGCTGCGGCTGATGGAAACCGAACTCCAACCAGATCTGGAGGGCCACAAGTTGCTCTGTGGCTTACCTTGGTGTCTGCACAGTCCTGTAGGCCCAGCTCCTGTATCACAGCATCAACCTTGATCTTCTTCTCTGTGTTGCTGTTCCTGTTCTGAGGCAGCCGCAGGTTGGCGGAGAACTGGAGGTTCTCCCGGATGCTGAGGGTTCCTGTCAGAATGTCCTCCTGCAGGCCAGGGAAAATCAGATGCCTTAGGAAGTGAAAGGATTCCCACAGGGGAAGGGGAAGGAGGACACATTGGATAAGAGCACTGACACCATGCTGAGCAACAGCAGCTTTTCTTCGGGCAAGAACTTGCTGGGTATCAGGCAGGATTACACATCCAATGCCTTCGTTTGCATGGTGGATCTCTTCAGTGTAACAGAACCAAGGCACCCATGTCCCACCGTTCTAACATGCTTACAACCACTGGCCAATAGGATTCAAGCAGAGCGTCTTCGTTTGAGCTGGTTGACATGAGGGAGCAAAGACTGTGAACCATACTGTGCAATAAGCTGGGATATACCTGCAAGCAGTGTTCACATTACTATACACTGAAATGCAACATAATATATGCAAATTGATTAACATTTAATTCAATTACAATAACCAATTGCAAAATAAAATAACCAACGAGCTACAATAACCAATGTTGTCTGCTTCCTCTGCCCCCTCCTTTCCTTTGATGCAGCTGTGCGGGAGATTCAATTTCCATTAATCCCTGGTTTAGCATTATGCTTGACCCCTAAACTGTGGCTGATGTTAAGCACTGTTGGTTTAAACAAGCCAGCTTCATAACCCTGAAGATGACTTGTTTCAGGCAAGCCGTAGTGAACACTAAGCTTCGTTTATCGGGTTCTGATGACACAACCAGCTGTGCCTATGCAAAAGCGGAAATAAAAGCTTCTAAAATCTGCCTTGCAGACATGCATTAGGAAGGGAGAAGAAGTGCATGAGCCTGAATCTGGCTGTGGCCTAGCCCCATATGGTTTAGTGTGAATTGGGCCAGTATCCCTTAGAGGCATTTTTACTGTAACAAGATGCATCTAGAATATAAATTCTGTCCCTGACCGTCACTGAGATGTTAGCTGGACATTGCATACAAATAACATGGCCCTGACACCATCTCCTTTTCTTCTCCCCCTCCAAAGAAGGAGCATGGGGTGGGGGTGAGGCTTGCTCTAGGGAGGCAACAAGAAGAGAATTGACTCTTCCTTGATCTTTGCTTCTCTGCTCTGAAAGCAGAGATTTCAAATGGAGAAGCGGCTGGTCAGAAGAAAGTGAGTGTCTAGCTTCTTCTACATGGTGTTTCCATGGAAACTTCTTAAAGGGAATGCCTGAGGTGGGCCATAATACCACTGTGATTTCATGAGGCTGCAACTCATTTCTTTTTTAGTTTCCTGAAATTATGTTCCGGTAAATCCAATGGCTTAGTATATCCATATCCAGAGTACACTTGTTCAGATTATTGGTTAACTTCAATTAACTATAAAATATGTGAACAAATACAAAAAAGTTGCACATAAAGAAGAGTTTACCTGGACCACATAGGCAGAACACTGATGAAAATTGGAGTCTACCAACTTTCCATCCATAAATATCTGTCCCCCTGTAAGCCCTTTGGGGTCTTTCCATCCTGCTAGGACATCGAGGAGCCTAGAGATGGGGTGGAGGGGAAGGAAACAAAGTCATGATCAGCTCATCACTCTGTTCCCAGGGGCTCTTGGAATAAAGAGGAAGGAGAAGAAAAAAGAAAGGGAGGATGCGAAAAGCCTACAAAATAAAGGAAGAGAAGGAAAAAACAGGGAAGAAGATTTTGAATGGAAAAAGCCAAGAATAAAGGAAGACAAGGGGAAAAGAGGGGTTTGGGTCTAAAAATAAAAAGAAGACCCCCCCCCCAAAAAAAGAATTGTAGAGGAGATAAGGGGAAAGATGCTGTAGAAAAATGATGCCAAGTAAAGGTATTACAATCCTGATTGAAGAGTTGAAATGGAAATAAAAGGAGGAAGAGCAGAGCATGACGTGAATAAATGTTTAAATATATATATAGAAGCAGCAGAAGAAAAACAAGACAAATCACAGAGAAGAGTAAATTTTGAAGGACTTGTTTATCCATGTTCTGCTTATCTAGCTGCTTTCTCTTATAACCCCCTCCCCAGAATTAATATTCAAACTTCCTGTTCTCATAACATCCGAAGAAAGAAAGACAATGGAATTAAGAGACTACAGTAGCCTAGTGTAAGACTACATGTCTATACTGAGATGTAAGTCCCACTGAGTTCAATGTGGGGAACTGCACTCAACACACATGATCCCACAGTGTGGAGCCTCCATTTTAATAAGCGTCCCACCCAGATGCAGAAAACGCATTGGCTGCACCCAAATGCAAACAGTGACCAACAAGAACTGTGGCTGGTTGCAGAAGTGGATGGCTGAGCACCTTCCACTGGGAATGTGCAGGCACCATTGTCTGTGGGTGGAAGAGCTGCCAAGAGAGAAGAGTAGGTGGGCTGGAGGCAGGAAACTATTGCATACAGAGGGGAAAGTGCAACTGGGGAATGAGTTATCCCCAGGACATGCAAAACACAGGTATGAAGGACAAAACTTACGAAGTTTTCCCACTTCCGGTTGGCCCCAAGATGGCATTCATCCCAGGCTTCATAATACCACTGCGGAAATAGAAATGGGTTGGTGCCTGTTCCCAGACCAGACATTTCTGAACTGTATTTTGCATGGAAGGAGCGTCTCCACCCCCATCGTTCAGCCCAGACACTGAGGTCCAGCGTCGAGGTCCTTCTGCTGGTTCCCTCACTGCGAGAAGCAAAATTAGGGGGAACCAGGCAGAGGGCCTTCTTGGTAGTTGCGCCCACCCTGTGGAACGCCCACCCATCAGATGTCAAAGGAATAAACAACTATTTGACATTTAGGAAACATCTGGAGGCAGCCCTGTTTAGGGAAGGTTTTAATGACTGATGTTTTAATGTATTTTTAATCCTTTGTTGGAAGCTGCCCAGAGTGGCTGGGGAAACCCAGCCAGATGGGTGGGGTATAAAGAAATTATTATTATTAATTAATTATTATTATTATTTATTATTTTCTAAAATTACAAATTGCCACGGGAGTCTTTTTTAAGCGCTGAAGATCTGCCATGTGTCAGCAACAGTGTGAAAAATACCATGTTGGTGTGGCAGTTTTTATTTTACTGCCATGCCAATATTACCTTTCTCCTCAGAAGACCTATCCTTCCAGCTTTTGTGATATGCACACAACCGATTTCATCTTACAATTAGTGGCTGGAAAGATAAATCAGCAAGGATGATTTGGGCACTGTTTGCCCCCTCCCACTAACTCCCAATCGCCACCGAACGCATCTAATAGCCCAGTACTGGGAAACCTGTGGAACGCCTGATGATGCTGGACTATAATTCCCTTCAGCCCTGATCAGAGTGGCCAGTGACTGGGGGTGGGAGTTGCAGTCCAACAACATCTGGCAGGCCACACTGTCCCCATCCTTGCAATAGGCCAACAATAGCACAATTCTTTCTGAGCAGACATGCATAGTCTCGCTGAGTCCAATGGCACTTACTCCCAGGTAAATGTGGAAAGGATCTTAACTTGAATTAGATAGAAACAGTGGGTGATATCCAACAAAGTCATACATGGCCAGACAGGTCAGTTGATTAGAGCATGGTGCTGATAACACCAAGGTTCCAGGTTCGATTCCTGTATGGGACAGTTGCATGTTCCTGCATTGCAGGGGGTTGGACTAGATGATCCTCAGGGTCCCTTCCAACTCTACAAATCTATAATTCTATGATTCCATGGAGTAAACCCATTGAAACTAATGGATCACTGATTTTAATGAGTCTACTCTTTAATACTGGATATCACCCAATGTCACTGAGGCTGTGTACACACCATATATTTAAAATTCATCCCTCCTTCCAAAGAACCCTGGGAATGTAGTTTAACCCGTACAATTCCAAGCAACCTTAAACTACAACTTCCAAAATTCTTTGGTGTGTGTGTGCTTTAAATGTATGGTGGATATGCAGCCTAATCATTCGTGAAAAGGACAGTTTGTCACTACCAAAGGTCATCTTTGTTTGCTGTGGGCAAATTATGTTTGCATAGTTGCATGATTTCTAGCACAGCAAAGAAGCCTGGGATTTGTGCTCTGCTGAGGAGGCTACGTTATCTTCTGCAGCAAGTGAAAAACATCAGTCCGTTTTCTTGTTTTTGTTATTAGAAAGTGCAAAATGTTATTCGAAAAAGAAACATCCCAGAAGCCAATTTTGCTTATTGTATGTGCAAAAACGTTTGTCGATACATTGCACTGTAACAAAGCGGTACAAGATTAATTTGCTGGTACAAATTTGCTTATTGAATTTCTGCCTCCAGTTGCCTGTTTCACCTCTTTGACTGGCTTGAGGCCCGGTCTCCTGCCCCATCCTGCAATCAACTTTTACTATCATTTTATCAGATTGCTGACAAGAGTTGTGCTATTGCATGCTCACAAAACAGTGTGCCCCAAAAAAGTGAAGAGGGAAAAGAAATAAACAGAAACCCAACAACCAGTCCCGCCTGCATGTGAAAGGTGCAGGATCCAGTCTGTGGTACATCCACAATATTTTGATTGTGGATGAGTGCCCTTTTATATTTCACTCAGATTCCCAATAAACCAGCCTATGAAGAACAGTTGAGGGAGCTGGGGATGTTTAGCATGGATAAGAGCAGACTGAGAGGAGATATGATAACTATATTCAAATATCTAAAGAGCTATCACATAGAAGATGGAGCCAGCTTGTTTTCTCCTGCTCTGGAGACTAGGACCTGAAGCAATGGATTCAAGATAAAAGAAAGGAGATTCCGACTAAACACCAGGAAGAACTTTCTGACAGTAAGAGCTGTTTGACGGTGGAACAGTCTTCCTTGGAAGGTGGTAGACCAGGCATCCCCAACCTTTGGCCCTCCAGATGTTTTGGACTACAATTCCCATCATCCCTGACCACTGGTCCTGTTAGCTGGTCCAGGTTGGGGATGCTTGTGGTAGACTCTCCGTCCTTGGGGGATTTTCAGCAGAGGTTGCATGGCCATCTGTCATGGGTGCTTTATTTGATATTCCTGCATTGCAGAGGGTTGGACTAGATGACTCTCAGGGTCCCTTCTAACTCTACAATTCTATGAATATTCAGCATTTATATAGGGCTTTGGAGTGCTAAAAGCATTCCGCATAACTTTATTCATTTATGTCTTCCTTGTAAGAAGTTATAAACAACTCAAGATATAAAATACCAGAGGGGTGTGCATTTTAAAACTTGAAAAGAATACACAAAACAAAATAAGGATAAACAGTAAAGCATCTTCAGTAGTATCGACAACATGACTGGGCCACACTACAGGAAAAGCTTGTGTGTATAACGAAGTTTTAACTCAGTATCTAAGCAACATGACCACCCAGAACAGGACACCCAACAAATATGTACGGTGTTATGCTTAGAGCAATGATGGGGAACCTCTGGGCCTTCAAATCTTTCTGGATTCCAACTCCCATCAGCCCTAGACAGCATGGCCAATGGTCAAGGAGGATGAGACCTCTAGTTCAGCAATGTCTGGAGGGTCACAGGCTCTCTCCCCCTGCCCTGGTATAAGCATAGCTCCACTTGTTGGACGTCCAAAATACATGAAGCAGTGCTAAAAGTTCTGCTCCGGGTGGTCATGGAGTGAGCGTTGGATCAGGGTCAAAAGCACCTCTCCTGTGGACTGCAGGGACCTGGCAGTGGCTCTTCAAATAGGCTGGCCTCATTCTAATTAGAGTTACAATTCCCAAGGCCTTAAACCTGGTCTTATAGCATGCTGGCAGCCAATGCAAATTTTTTTCCAGCCACAGGGCTCTAGGCCAGTGATAGGCTGCTCAAGTCAGGAGACACCAGCTGCAGCTTCCAGACCAACCTCACGGGTAGCCCCCTCCCCCTTATCTCAGTCCATCTTAAAACAACTCTGCAAGGTAGGCCAGTGCTATCCCCATATTGCAGATGTGGCACCGAGGCTGGGAAAGTAGTTCCCGTTGCTTTCCGAGGGAACTGAATGCAACCAATTTAGTCCAGATCTAACCCCAGTGTCCAAGTACAAATGTAATTGCCGTTGAAATGGCAGCTGGCTTACCTGACATCCCTGAGAACTTCCTTTTCTTCTTTTCCTTTGAAAGGTAAAGTCCAGCATGTGGTGACCAAGTAACTAATGTTCTGGAAAGCCAATGTTGGGCCATGGACATTCAGCTGAGTAACAGCATCCTGAATATTTGCAAGCTCCATTCCAGGCAGCCCCTTCGCGTCAGAATGGTGGGAGAAGACACAAAGGCTTCCCTTTTAGTCAGTCACCTGAAGGGAACAGGACATGCAATGCTTTACTCTTTTCACTGTCTCGCTTTGCCTCAGCTCACGCACCTTTGCTATCTCAAAAGCAATCTTACTTTTATCTATTACACAGGCTCGAAAGTCATAATTCAGACAAAGTCCTCCTCAGTCAGGCCTTGTGCAAGCAGAGTTTTATGAATAATGATCCAGTGCTATTTTTCCTAGAAAAGGAGGCGCTGGAACTCACTATGAACATCTTCCTTGTTCTCTCGCAATGGCGCTGGCACCCACCTGAGAGGTGCCAGAACTGAGTTCCGGCTGGGGGAAAAGCTCTGGGTAAAATAGATCTCCGTTGTCCCTTGAGGAAACGTACATTCACAAAGAAACAATAATAGAACATGCCATAGCTGATCAATGAGCCATACAACTCAGCAGTCTACCTCTTGATTAGGGTATGAAGGCAGTAGATCCACTTCCTGTTCTGAGTCCTTTGCATCTGCGACCTAGATTTGCACTATACTTGAGCACTAGAGGTGTACTTTCGAATTTCATGGCTATTAGACATCTGCAGGTCGCTTTTCCTGAAGTGTGGCTATCATTATGCAAATAGTGAAATGACATCAGGAAGTGAGTCATGCAGAAACATTTACTCTTTGACATGTTGCTATTTTTATTTAAAAAAACCAGCAACGATGGGAATCTACATGGAATGTTGTGTCTTTCCGCTGCAGAGATCGCAGAAGATGTGGTCCTGGAGCAAAAATCACCTGTGGAGTTACTCCCAACTCACTTTTCTCTTTCATGTGAAACATTCAACATGAGTATGGCTCTAATGACAGCCAGCAAGATGAGCCCAAGATCTCTGTGTACATTAGGAGTGTAGGAGAAATTCATTTCAGCCCCTGTCCAAATGAAAACCTACGTAATTCACACCTCCTCAAACACCATATGAATGCAAACACAGCTATCCCCTAGAGCTCACACTTCCTCAAATTTTACAATGCACTTCTCCAATCAAATAACACATATATTAGGGGGCAACGGACCTAAAAGTACACGTGTTAGTGAACATATAAAAATGCATTGTTATGAAAATTACTTTGCAGAAATGTGTGCATTAGGGGAAAAATGCACTCAAGTGTTGGTGGATTTTCATGAAGGGTCTTTCAAAAAGTTATTATGCAGGTTCCCAACTCCTGCATTAAAGATTTTTGAGTGGCCATCTGCAATGAGATGCTCTATTCTAGAACTTTAGTTCCTTATTTTTCTTTTCCAATACTTTTTAAAGTTGCAACTTGATAAAATACTCGAAGCAGCTAACAACTAATAAAAAACAAAACGTATCATTAAAATAACGGTATATTAAAATGACAGCAATAAGTAGAAGTTCAAATCAGAAATCCTGTAAGAATCACAAAACAGTGCCTTTAAAATCACAGCAGATTCAGGAAATAGGAAGCAACTAAAACTTTGGGTTTCAGTGGGGAATAAAAAATAAAAAAAATAAACTTGGGATTTGAACTTCCTGTTCAAATTTGGGTGATTCATTTCCTGAGCCAAAGTGCCTTGCAGGACAATCTTAGGCATTTTACTCAGTTCTCAACATGTTCAATGCAGCTTACTGCCCAGGAAGTTGTGTGCTTTTTTTAAAGCCCTAAATCACTGGAAGAAAAGGAAGGTATGCCATTATTATACTTGGACAGCAGGTGGCAGTGTTTGTTCACAATTACCATTTTATAGGAAACTTCTCAAATCAGCAGTCAGCTTTGGAGAAAAGCATCTTACATAGTCGGAGCAGGAGGGGGATACATTTAAAAATAGTTTTCTGAATTTCAAACCCTAAGGTACCAAAGCTTGGAAGCTGGTATTCTACCATCCAAATAAGATACTTGTGGTTTTGGAGGCCGTGTGCTTCCCTCCAGCCTAGGAGAAGGGAGGGTTGGCACAAAGGTGGCATTAAGGTGTTGAGGAGAGAAAACAAGGTACCTGGTTGGAAGGAAGGGAACTCTGTGTCCCTCTGCAGAGGGAGGGACCTTCTCCCATCATTATTCCCAGCTGGAGGCAAGCTCAAACATACACACATTTGTTCATGTTTGTTCCTTCTCTGTTCTCTTCTTCCCCTCTAGCTTTTGCTTTCCCCACTCCTCCGGGACAGTAAGTAGAGATTCGTTTTTTTATTTACACTTACGAAACTCTAAAGCAGGGATGGAGCACTTACTAGCATGGCCAATGGAAGCTGGAGTTTCCAGCAACACCTGGAGAACCACAGTTTACCCATCGCTGCACCACATGAACACCATGGCTTGCTTTGCCCTAAGTTGACTTAGCAGTGAACTGGGGTGAAACTCACATGCAGTCATAACAATGGGGGACGGGACTTTGGTGTCTTTTGCAGCAAACCTGTCCAGTCTGCAAGTAGTGTGTGTCTGTTTAAACACCTGTGTGTACAAGTCTGAGAAACCTGGCCAGGCCAGGCGTCAGAGATGTGGGCGCCCAAGTGTATCAATTCAACAGGTGAAAAGCAGCAGCAGAACTTGCCATTTCTTACTACCAGGGCAGGGGAGAAAAGACAGCAGCAACCCAGCACAAATCTACAGCTACCACTTTCTAGCAAAGCAATTCTCCTTCTCTTGAGGGGCTGAGTAACGGAAGGCCTAAGTGGGAGCTGCGGCAAAATGCTGCAGTGACTAAGTGCTCCCACATTCTCAAATTCCTAGCCAGCCAGTCACGTCCAGGAGACTCCGTTCTGTTCCACTTCAGTTGAAAAAGAAAAGTCAACAGTGGCCCCCATTTTCATTGGGACTGTGGCACATGGGGAGTGGGGGGGGTTTACATTAAGGGGTTCTGATCAGACCCAGAATAATGTCTTGTTCCACCAGGGGTGGGGGGTTAGGGAGGAATCCGCCCACTAGCTTTCCCCTGCAGGATTACTTTTTTCTTTCTTCTCTACATCCCACTTCTCCAAGGTGGCATATGCATGGATTCTCCCACCCCACCCTTCCACTTTACCTTTACCACAACCCTGTGGTTAGGCTGAGAGACTAACTGGCCCAATATCTCCCAGTGAGTGTCATGCCCAAGTGGGGGTTTGAACCCTGGTTTTCCAGGGCTCCAATCTAACATTCTTGCCACTACTCTCTGCTGGCTACCAGTTTCTGACTTGGACAGAGGTGTGCCTGGAGTGAGCGTCTCTTCCGCAAGCTGACTTGACTGTGAGGGCAGAGAGTCTTGGGTGCCTTTTCAAGCCTCTGTTGCTACTTTTCCCTTTGACTATTTTTTCTCATTAAGCCTTCTAGTGCTGCTTTTTTTTGGGGGGGGGAGGGAAGACACCTTTCTTTGAGCCCACATTAATTAGTTTCAGCTGTCACCCGGATCCTGGTTCTTCAATTACTCTGTGCAGCTGCTTTCCCCAGAGGTTTAACCGCTTCCTAGCTAGCACAACTCCTAGTTCGCAGTGACCACAAATGTCCACTTCTTTCAAAGGCAGACTTTATTCAGTGCTCTGAATGTGTAGAAGCTGCCTAGTGAATGGCTCAGTGCTCGCAAATGTTACCTGAAAGACCACCTGCCCCTGCACTACTCTAAGATCACTTGGATCAGCCTCTGAGAACCTGCTGTCTCCTATCAGCCAGCGCTGCCAGTCGTCAGGGATGATGAAAGTTGTGGTTCTAAACATCTGGAGGTTGCCAGGGTGGTGAATAATGACTGACATCTTGGGAAATACTATTCATGGTATCGCACCCTACAGAATACCGTACAAGGGTGATCCTGCAATGGGCACCTTCTCTTATTGCCCCTATGTGATGGAATGCCCTACCCTCTTGCCATAGGTGAAGCAGCAATCATCAGTTGCTTTGGGACATCTTGTAAAGACTTGTCTTTTTGCCCATAGAATTGGACTCTTGATTTTATTTGTATGGATTTCCTGAATTCCTGCTTTCATACTACTGCTTTATTGCTTTTACCTTTTGTTTCAATAACAGTGAAGACTGTTTTCATGTTTTAAATCTGTTTTGAGATCTAAAAAAATGGTTTACAAATGCGTTAAATAAACGTACATGTGTATATTGAGCCTACGTAGAAGCTCCTTGCAAATCAGAAATGAGCCATTTCTCGGTGGCAGAGAGCATGATTTGCTTGCAAAAGGTTCCCTGCTCAATCCCAGGCTTCTCCAGTCCTCAGGGATGGCTCAAACAGCAGGTCGGGTGAAAAACACTCTGCTCAAGACCCTGGGAAACTGTTGCCATCTACTGCACTGCCAAATAAACTGCTTACAAAGCATGCCTTTAAAGTGCATGCATCTCCCCCCCCCCCCATCACAGGAACTGTAGTTTCTTATAAGTGCTGGGAATCATAACTCTGTGAAGGGGTAACTACAATTTCCAGGATTCTTGTTGCAGGGGTTAGGTGCTTTAAACGTACGATAGCATGTATGCAGCCATAGCCTGACGTCTTCTGATTTTCAACGCATGTTCTAATCATGATTTAAGAAAAATGCAGAATCTCTTTTGGCTGTGTATGTGTTCCAAAACGGTTCAGTTTCCCTTCAACTTCCCCTTTTTCAGCATATATTAATTTTCAGTCTCTGGGCTTCAGGCAACCTAGAAAAGTTGACTTGTATTGCCTTCCAAACATCAAATATAGCCCAAAAAGTCCATCATCATCACCACCAGAATAGTCCAGTACTATTTAGGGTTTCTAATGAAGCTAGAAAGCAATGGATCACAAATAGTATAGTATCTGGCACCTTGGAGTCCCAGTTTCCAGGTGTCCCAGTGTCGAATGCCCCCTTAGAATTATTAAATTTTCCCAAGACAAGTTGTCTAGGTATTGGCCGGCATTTCACCTCAGGGAACTTCTAGTGGGGCACGTCCTCATCTCATCATTCACCAACATCAGCACCAATTAGCCCTCACCCCATCTTACGGCACATTACACAGAAGCAAACCCAGCTTTGCCATCGAGGGCTTACTTATCAAGGAGCTGTGGCCAATCTTCCGCCCTGACAAGTATATCCACATGAT